CCATATTTGCTACATTGCATATGGTCAACCTCCCAAGAGATGCTTAGACCTCTGGCCCCTGGTCAACATAATCAACCCAACAATACAAGCATTTAGTTGCTTTATGTGCCGTAGTTGCTATGAACTCCGACTGTCCTTGACACCATCCAGTTGCTAAGGTTGGGGGAAGATACAGGATGTTTGATTCTCAGCCTGCACGCTGGTAAGCTCATGGGAGACACTGACTTGTTCTTTTCCTGGCTCGCCTGCCGCTTGCTTGTGCCACAGTCGCTTATCAGGGACGAGGGTGTGTTGCTTTTTTGCTCAGCCCTCTAAATTCCAACATGGCTGGATCTCAGGAGATGCAGACTGGTCTCTCCTGGCTTGCCCGCAGCTTGCTCGCGTGGCAGCCACTTTCCAGGATGGAGGGTGTGTTGCTCCATCCTTAAGATTTGTGGGGTGAAACATTTCTGATGATGACAACTTACTTGCTTGTGGCACATTCAAGATAGTGCATCCTTCCTCTCAGTTCTCCAGTTCAGCTGCTTTTGTTGCAGGTACAGGATCTTCTTAAAGTCTTTACACTTGTATTTTGAGTCATCATATTTTCCCCTCACTTGAAACCTTGCCGCCTCATCATGTAATTTTTGGTCTCTACTTTCATCTTCATCCAAAAGTTCAATGCAAGTTCCACAGATTTTCTCTTCAAATAACAACAAAGTCCACCTCCTTTAAGATTTCCTTGATTATCTTTGTAAAACTTGACTTTAAATTCTTCTGTCTGAGGGTCTTTCATAATAATACTAAATGCTGGCATAAGTTGTATTCATCCACTGTAATGTCTGGAGGCAAACCAGACATGTATATGTTAGTTTTTTCTTATTCATTATGAACTCATACTGATTCATTCTTTCTCTTTTCTCCATTTTTCCCAGAATCAGTGGGTTCTGGGGTTTTCTTTGTGGAGGTTCTTCTGTAGTCCTAGTACTGCTGTCTGGGACGTATGTAGTAGCATCATTAGAGAGGCCAAGTAGCCTGATACATAGCAATAAAGTCTCCAGTGATTTCTACTCATAGTGGGTGTCAGCTGGCTTCTGCTCAGAAGAATCCGTTTCTCCACTGGGATCATTTTGGATATCACCATCTTTGGTGTCTGTACAGTTCGTGCATTTGCAACTGCTCATCAAAGTCATCATTTCTACTCAAGTTGTTGCTGCTCATGTTTCTCTACCTAACAGGATTCAGAAGTGCAGAGAGGCCGAGGTGATGACTTTGGGGTCACTGTTAGGTCCAGAGCACAGTAGAGTGCACACACATGCAGTGGCTGACAACCCAGTCAAGGGTGACTTTAGGAAAAGAGTGAGGTGTATTTTATGATACCATGACTATGACTAGTGTACTTGAGATTAATGTATATCATTATCAGTGTTGGGTGTGGTGTTCTCTAGTTTTTTTTTTTTTTTTTTCTGTCTTTTTCCTTTTTATCAGTACCAGGGATCAAACTCACGACCGCATACTTGCAAGGCAGGCACTTATGCAGCTGAGCTAAACCCCCACCCCCCTGTTCTCTAGTTCTATCAGTCAGTTACTAAAAGAGGGATTAAAATCTTTGTGGTCATGAATTTTTTCTCTTTAGACCTATCAATTACTCATGTATATCGAAGCTCTTCTGTGGGACGCATTCATGTGTAACGTGCTTGTTGAATTCCTTATTTTATCGTTAGGAAATATTTCTTTTTATTTCTGCTGATATTCCTTGTCTTTTTCTTCTTTTAACTTTCTGTTTTCTTGTCTTTCTTGAAAGACTCTTTTTCAGATATTGATATATCAGTATCAGCTTTACCATGCTTACAGTTTTCATGATTTTTAAAATCCCCTTTTTAAACCAGTCTTAAATAGTATGTAACTTTTTGTGGTACTGGGGATTGAATCTAGGGCCCTTGTGCTGAGCTACATGCTTAACACATATTTTTATTTGTTTATTTATTTAGAGACAGGATTTGCTAAGTCACTAAGCTACTCAGACTGGGTCTAAACTTCGGAGTTTTCTTGCCTCAGCCCCCGAAATTTTGGGATTACAGGAATGTGACATCATGCCCTGTTTAACAATTAAATTCTTATTCTTCATTCTTTCCTTCCAGGACTCTCCTTACGTGATTTACCTATACTATATTATAGCTCATTAAAGTTTTGTTCTCGGCTGGGGATTTAGCTTAGTGGCTGAAGTCCTTGCCTAGTAAGTGCAAGGTCATGAGTTCAATCCCTGGTACCAAAAAAAAAAAAAGTTTTATTGCTTTTTTTTAAGTGTTTAGAATTTTACTTGAATAGTTTCTGTTACCATGCCTTCAAGTTCCCTGACTCTGCCTTTGACCATTAAGCCTATTCACTGAATATTTCATTTCAGATTTCTCTTTGGTTGTATATACACTTTCTGTTCCTTTGTTAAATTATCCCCCTTTGTTTATTCTGTAATTCTTTTTTTCTTTTTTAGTTTTTTTGAGTCAGGGTTTCACTATACAGTTCAGGTTGGCCTTGAGCTCACTTTGTAGCCCAGGCTGGTCTTGACTTGCAGTGATTCTCCTACCTCAGCCTCTGTAATTCCTTTAAATCCTTGAACATATTTATAATTGATTTCTTTCACTTTTTAATTTTTTAATGGTAATATTAATTGAACCCAAAGCCTTTGCACTGAGCTACATCCCCAATCCTTTGTAGCGTTTATTTGGAGACATTCTCACCAAGTCCCAAAATTCTTGAGTTGTCTAAGGATAGTTGTACTAGTACCATGCAAAATGTACAATGTACCGAGGATATTTGGCCATTATGGCCTGATTCTCCTCTCAGAACCTGATCGAGAAGGCTGCTGTAGATTGTTGTCCTTACCTGTAACAGAGGCCCTTCTGTTATATAAGGGGAATGCCTGGGTGTTAACAGTACTTTTGCTTTTGTGAGCTAGAACTCTTTTTCTATGTATGACATCTAGTATCTTCTGCTGTCATCCTTGGAGCAGGGATTCTCTCTCTGTTGGCATGTGTTCACGTAAAACTCAGATTTAGGACAGGGACTCATGAGGTATACTGTTCAGCCAGGCTTGGGAGGGCTCTACACAGCTCCCTTTTCTATAGAATCAGAGTTTTAAAGATTTTCTGCCTCCTTAGCTAAGTTGGCTTACTGTACTGTTTGGCCTGGCCTTACCCTTCTCCTTTCTCTTTCCCCCCACCTTGGTTAGGAAATTGAGTGTAGGCATGGATACATTTGGTACATTTCCCTTTTCTCTAGTAGTGTGGTCTATCACACTTTGACTGTTATCCACTGCTCACAGATAGTTGATGTTTACTACTAAAATTGTTTGTGGTAGTTTTAGATATGTGGGACAAATGTGTGACAGTTGCAGATGGAAATTACAAGATTTATTTTACAAACACGATTTTTGGTCTACAGAGTTCCTGGTATGAAATTAGTGATTAATATCAATACTTTCTTTAAACAGTTTTAAATTCTTATGAATTATTTACCAGTTAGGTGCAATATGATCTAGCAGTGTTTTAGAATGGATTAATACTTTAAGCTTATCAGCATTTCTCTCAGGATTTTTAATTTAGTAGATGTGGCCTGACCTTTCTGGAGGAGTCAACTTTGTTAATTTTTGAGGAGCTGTTTAAAGAATAATATTTTTTGAAGATAAAAATATGATTATCTGCTGAGCGTGGTGGCTCATGCCTGTAATCCCAGCACTTGGGAGGCTGAGGCAGGAGGATAGTTGCGAGCTCAAGACCAGCCTGGGCTACAAAGTGAGCTCAAGCCAGCCTGAACTGCATAGTGAGACCCTGTCTCAAAAAGACAAAAAACAAAACAAAACAAAACACTGTGGAAAATAGTCTCTCTGCTGAAGGTATAAAACTGATAGGACGTAAAAAAAAAAAAAGATTATCTGTGAATAGTTGTGTGTTGCGTGGTAGAAAGTGGTTTTTTATTTTTTATTTTTTATTTTTAAACGGTGACAAGCAGGGAGTGGTGGTTCATGCCTGTAATCCCAGCACTCCCAGCACTCCCAGCACTCGGGAGGCTGAGGTGGGAGGATCCTTGTGAATTCGAGACCAGCCTGGGCTACAAAGTGAGCTCAAGGCCAGCCTGAACTGCATAGTGAGACCCCGGCTCAAAAAAAAAAACCAAAAAAAAAAAAAAAAAAAGGTGACAAAGTTTCATATTTATTGTAATCCCAGCACTCAGGAGGCAGAGGCAGCAGCATTGTGTGTAAGTTCAAGACCAGTCTGGGTTGCAAAGTGAGCTCAAGGCCAGCCCGAACTGCATTGCGAGACTCTTGTCTCACAAAGACAAAAAAAAAAAAGTAGGAGAAAAAAGACTATGTGGTAGGGGGGTTGGGCCAGGTAAAAGTAGAAAAAAAGAGATAAAAATGGGCTACTATGAAGTGACACTATCATGGCAGAAATTTTTATGAAGAAAAAGCATAGAAATGAAAGGCATCCTATTAATTAGAAGATGTTAAAGATATAGCGGGTTTTAAAAATATGTATAAGGCTACACTAGCTTTTCTTCATTTTTATTTTTTATTTTTAATTAAAAAGATTTTTTTATTCCTATCCCCTCCCTCCAATCAATCAATCTATCTATCTATTTGGTCTTTTTGAGATAGGGTCTCACTATGCAGTTCAGGCTGGCCTTGAACTCACTTTGAAGTCCAGGCTGGCCTGGAACTCAGCAATACTCCTGACTCAGCCTCCCGAGTGCTGGGATTATAGGCATGTGCCACCACACCTGGGTTACATCCTCTTTTTTTTGTTACCAGGGATTGAACTCATCACCTTCTCTTACCAGGCAGGCGCTTGTACTGCTGAGTTGGCCCTTCATCCATATTTTTAGAGAGCTAAAGCTTTAAGTGTGTTAACTATGACAAAGATACATCATTTAGAAGAGAATAGTATGTTTTTGTAAGTTTCATTTTAATATTTACTAATTAAACTTTACTTGATTAATGAGAGAGTACTTTTTGTTGTTAACAGAATAAATTTAAACGTGAAGAAAAAACAAATGGGTGGAGAATAGACAAAGCATTCCGTAAGTATTAAAGACTCCCTTTACAAAGTATTTAGAGAGGCTAACCCATGACCATTTTTTTTTGTCTTTGGTATATTTCAGGTTTATTTTATTTTGCTTTGAAACAGAGTCTTGCTGTGTAGTTCAGACTGTACTTGAACTCACTGTGCAGCTCTTGGTGCTCTTTCTGCCTCAGCCTCCCAAGTGCTGGGATCACAGGTGTGCCCCACAATGTCCAGTTAAATTTGTTTTGTCCTTATAATAATATAGTAAGAATAAGAATGGAAATATTTTTGTTGTTTAAAAATACAGTTTTGGTAGTTACTACAAATCTAATGGTAAGGGATTAATCAAAATATGTGGAAGCAGGTAAACAGAGTTCTAAGTCCAAAAGTTTGTAAAAAGACTGATGATTATATTTCTAAATGATTCTTTATTCTGAAGGAACCTACAGTCAAGGAATTGTTTCTGGAAGAGAATTTTATAGATGGTTCCCTCCAGTAATTAACCAGTCATTCAGTCAACATCACTGCCCACATGCTGTGTGCTGGTTGCTATGTTAGGTATTGAGGTTATAGTGATAAACAGGGCAGAGGAGAATCCTGCCTTTAGAGCCTTAGGTATAAATGGATGGGGGAAATTGCTCAGCATAATAGTTTCAAAAGTAATTGATTTGTGAGAAAAAGGAAAAAGAAAGCGTTGTTAGGGACTGGATATTTAGATTGGGTCATTCAGGAAGTTTTGTCTGGAGTGGTAACATTTGAATACACCTGATTTGGAGAGATGATAGGTGCTTTTTAGCTTCTAATATTTTTGTTAAAATTAACGTTATTTTCTCTCATGAGTTAATAAAAAGCATTGAGATATCATTAAAGAAAAATAATCAAGGGGCTGGGATTTAGCTCAGCAGCATAAGTGCCTGCCTTGCAAGCGCATGGTCTTGAGTTCGATCCCTGGTACTGATTAAAAAAAAAAAAATCAAATTTACTATTTAAAGTAGTTCTTGTATTTCTTGGAAGATACACATTTTTTGTGGATATGGAATTATCAACAGTTCATAATAAATGTACCCTATATCCATTTAGCCATAAAATTAGTTCATAAAAATTAAGCAAACTTTCTTAATTGCAATTAGGCATAATGCGAATTTGATTGTGTTTTACAGTGCACAGTGCTGGGAATTGCATGTACTGGGCAGGCATTCTACTTTTGAGCCATACCCCTAGGCCCATAATACTAATTTTAGACAAAAATTCATGTATGGATATGCCGAACTTATATTTTGAAGCATGTACATTTATCTTATGTAAGTAAACACTATGGTAGATAAAAGAGTTCTACGCCTAGTGTTGTATTGGGTCCTTAGGGAAACCACTTTCAGGAATGGCTCACGGAATGTCTAGACTATTTGTACATGGAGAAGCTTTCATTAGGTTTAATGTATTATAATCAGAAAATAATTCATACATCTGTATACTTATAATTTTTTGATGATTTTGGTGGCTTTTAGTGAGAAAATTAAAAATAAAACATATAAGACTTTTTGAAACTTAAATTTTAAACTTTCTTCTTCTTTTTTTCTGGTTTATTTTTTTATTTTGAAACAGGATCTCATTGTGCAGTTCAGCCTGGCCTTGAACTATGTAGCTCAAGCTGGCTTTGAACTTGTGGCCATCCTTCTTTATCACTGTCTTGAATGCTGGTTTTACAGGCATGTGCCACCAGACTTGGCTTGTGTAGAGATCTTTTTAAATTTTTTTAAACAGTAACAAAGCTTATTTGAAAAGATACAAGTGAAGAAGGAGGGAGAAACTGGCTCCAAAGAGCCAGAGTAGGCCAAGTAGAAGAGGAATAAACCAAGATAAAAGTATATCCTGGAAGACACAGGGCAGACTGCTGTGAGAAAAGCCATGATAGCCTCATAGAGAGATTGTTGATGGATTCTTTGAGTGCTAGCTACCTCTATGTTTTACAGAATCACTAGGTTAAAGCTGAGTCCACAAGAAAATAGGACCTTCAGGTTTGATTTTCTTGGGACTTTTTGTTTTTTGTTTTTTGAAGTACACACTTGTGTTTTTAAGGCTTTCTTGTAATCTTTCTGTACATTCACCATAATTTAGATGTGAAGTTTAGGGAAGTATTTGACTCCTGTGATGGATTCATTTCTACTTTTTTACTGATTGCTTTCTGATATATACTGTTCAAGAGTACTTGGTAGGAATGTTCCTTGTTGCACTAAACTGACTACTTTACATTTACTTCCTACTTTACTGATATTTGGAAATAGTTATGATAAAGAGGGGGCGTATGATAGCAGATAGATATTTTGAGAACTTCTTAGTCACCTTCACTTTCATTTTATTTTGCAATGGTGAGGATTTACTAAGGGTCTTGTGCCTGCTAAGCAAATGCGCAGTCAGTGAGCACACTGGCTCCAGACCTTACCCCCTTTGGTGCTGGCGATGTAACCCAGGGATATGTACTTAGGCCTATGCTGCACTGCTGAGCTGTGCTTCCAGTCCTCCTTGCCATGCCTAATGATCAATTTATATTTACACACACTTGAGAGTGTAGTTTGAATTTTGACAAAGAATATTTTTTGTAACCACCAAGACAAACCATATGTGGAACATTTTCATCACTGGAGAAGATTGTTGTTTTTCTTTCCAGTCATCAAATTTTATCCTGCTTCAAGGCAATCACTATTTTCCTTTAAATCACTGTAGAACACTGTAGAATGTTGAACATCTTAACCAATGCACTTACATAGAATGTACTCTCTTGTGTCTGATTTCTTTTACTTGATGTGTTTTCAGGACTTCACCTGTTTTTTGCTTGTTATTAGTGAACTCCCCCACCTCTAAACTAGTTCCCATTTATTGCTGTTTAGTGTTCTGTTGTATGCTTGTTTATCCATTGTCTTGCATTTATTTTTATTTACTTATTTGTCTTTTTGAGACAGGGTCTCGCTATGCAGTTCAGGCTGGCCTGGAGCTCACTTTATAGTCCAGGCTGGTCTTGAAATCACAATGATCCTCCTGCCTTAGCCTCCCAAGTGCTGGGATTATAGGGATGAGCCACCACGCCCGGCTCTCATTGTCTTGCTTTTTTTTTTATCGGTACCAGGGATTGAACTCACGACTGCCTGCTTGCAAGGCAGGTGCTTATGCCGCTGAGCTAAATCCCCAGCCCCTGTCTTGCTTTTAAATAGGACCATATCCTTCTAATGTCATGAAACTTTAAAAATTAGAAAGTTCTTTTCCTTTTTTGGAAACAGAAACTTGAAGGTTCTTTTTCTTTTTTTTTTAAACAGAGGAAAAACGCCCTTTTGACTTCGATTTTTTTGCTCATTTGCTCCAGAAAGTTCTTGTGGAAGAAGAGAAAAAAAAACAAAAGTCGGCTAAAAATCAAGGTGTAAAGAAGAAATCCTCCAAACCACAGAAAAACGTAAAAGGTATTAACTTTACAAGGAAATTTGTGATTTTACTCAGCAGTAGAAGACATATCGTCTACTACTTGGACTTGGGAACTGAGAATCATGTGTAGTTCAGGTGGAGATCAGAGGAGCCTTGAAGTTGGGGGAATTAGTGCTTCTTCACTTTACCAGTTACTGGGGCCAAAACAGCAATACCCTTTTCAATTACGTAATTGATGTGGCTGCTATTTGCCATTGTTTTAGTAAATAGGCATTTGTATAACTGATGAAAGAGCATGAGCATGTTGCTGTCATGCCATACTTATAATAAGTAATTTTGTTTGTTATCATTTTCTTTGTAAAACAAATCTAGTATCAAATTCTGTTTTTTTTTTTTTTTTTTTAAATACGGAATGCAAATATTTTGCAGTTAGGACCAGCTTGTCTTTGAGCACAACTTGCTTCTGAAGGTTAATGTTGACTCATGTCAGGTAGAAACTTTGTTCATATATAGGCATTTCTATTTTTAGTCTTATTATTTTTTCTTTTTTTTTGAGACAGGGTATTAGTACGTAGTTCAGACTGGCCTTGAGCTCACAAGCTGGCCTCAAAACTTGTGGCTTTCCTCTATCTTAGCCTCCTGAGTACTGGGATTACAGGTGTGCACCACCATGCCTGGTTATTTCTGTCATCTCGTAATTTAAAGAATCTTGGAACCACAGGGAGCCTTATATGTTAGTTCATATCTGTTTCTCATTTGTTTCTGTCACTGGGAGATGGTTCCAGAAATCCTAAGTCACTTTTTACTAAAGTCTTCCTGTTGGTGGTGGTAGCAGCAGGACCCGAACCTGGGACTGAGCACCCGTGCTGTAAGTCCCTAAGATCACTACTATCTTTGATTATTCACCAACAAGGCTCAGAGAGGCACATGACAAAATTTCACCCTCCCCAGAGGCAGACAGTTAAGGATGAGCCATGTTTACAGACAGCCTCAGCACAGTGAGCAGTCCTTAGCAGTTGGAGCAGTGGACACCTTTCTAAGACCACTGTCCCAGAGGTGGACCCAGGGGCAGCCTCCACTGCAGCCTTTCAAAAGAAAGCAGTCCTTGTATACCCCTGTATTATCTTTTCTGCTCAAATCCAGACTAAAATTTCTTTAATTTCTAGAGCATAGTACTTGTATCTTTTAAAAAGTAGTATTGATAACTGTAGTTATTTTATTATCTTTCAGTCAATTTTTTCTTTTACGTACTACACCTAGCCTTAGGAGGTTAAAATATATTAGTTCTTGTGATTATCACCTTTACAGGGAGTAGCATGAGTAATTCACTGTAATCTTATTTAGTGTAAGAATTTGAAAGAGATTATTATAACTCAGAACTTAGACATTTCTGGTTGGTATTCTGTCAATAAATCAAATGAGTCTCAGTTTTAAAATAATAATATTTTGATTCATTTTGGACCTAAATAAACAATATTATTAGGCCAGAGATTTAGCTCAGTGTCATAAGCACCTGCCTGGCAAGTGTGAGATCATGAGTTTGATCCATGGTACAAAAAAAGAAAAGAAAAAGCAAAACACACACACACCCACCCACACACACACCCCTCCCCCACAATGTTAAATTGTAATATCTTTTGAGATGGTATATGTTTAGAGTTGTCTGATCAGTCAAAGCTGTGAAGTTTAGCTTGCTTTTTGCTTTGAATGCTATCTTAAGTATATTTTGTGCAACTCTAACAGAATGCCTGAGATTATATAATTTATAAAGAAAAGAAATTTATTTCTTATAGTTCTGGAGGCTGGGGAGTCCAAGGTCAAGGCATCTGTCATCTGGTTTCTTTTTTTTTTTTTTTTTTGTACTGGAGATCAAACTCATGACTTCATGCTTGCCAGGCAGACACTTAAGCCACTGAGCTAAATCCCTAGCCCCGATCTGTCATTTTCTCTCTCTCGTTTTTTTTTTTTTTGGGGGGGGGTACCGGGGATTGAACTCATGACTGTGCGCTTGCAAGGGATGTGCTTATGCTGCTGAGCTAAATCCCCAGCCTGATCTGTCATCTCTTGAGGGTCTTCTTGTATCATCATATGGTGACAGGGCAAAGAGAAAGGCTACAAGAGAGCTGAACTCACCCTTTCATAATTACAGGCTTATTTTCACTATTAGGGCCCGCTTCTTAGAACCATGGTTCCGAGCACATACTGTACTAGTGATCTTTCTCTCAGTTCTTACCTGCAAAGATTTTTATATCATGAATATATTGTAACTTATTTAATTACTCTCTATTTTACATTTTTTGTAATTTTTTCCTCATAGAAATCTTTTTTTACAAATCATATTTATAGAGTATAACTTTGAGTATTTTTCTTTACCTTTAACAATTTTTCTATAGGTTGTTCACATATTTATGACCAGTTTTCTTCTTCTTAGTGAAAGAAGTTACGAGTGAAGTTGTGCATGATGATCCTGATGAATGTGTCAGTACTAAAATTTCAGACATAGAAGGATCTCAAAGGGACTCTGAGACATATGCAGAAAACGACTCTGTGACTTTATCAGGGCAGGATGCAGAAGCTGTATTAGAACAAGACCAAAATCAAACAAAAAGCAGAAAAAAGAAGAACCAGGATGGAGCAGATGAGCACAAAGTACAAAGTCTCTCAGGAAATGCTGTTGTTCAGTCAGGTTCTTCTGAAAGAGGAAAGCATAACAGTAAGTTTCTTGTATATCTTAATAGCCTCCATATTACTAAGGCACAAATAACAGTGTAATGTCTAGAGAATACTTTCCTTGTAGATAGTAGCAATTAATAGTTATTAATTGGTTCTGTATCCATAGTACTATATTAAAAGCTTTTATTTTTGAATTAAAAAAGAAAAATTTATAGGAAAAACATTAAAGCCAGGCATGATGATACTTGCCTGTAATTCCAGAACTCTAGAAGGCTGAGGCCGGAAGATTGTAAATTGCAGCGCCCAGTCTGGGTAATTCAGCGATTTAATGAGACTGACTCAAATTTTAAAGAAGTTCTAGAGATTTAGTGAGAAGACTCTGGGTTCAATCTCAGTAAGACAAAAACCAACCAACCAACCAAACAAACAAAAAATCAAGGAGATTTTCTTTCAAATAAGTTTCTAAGATGTTCTACATCCTTCCCATTAACAGTGATTGGTAATCACATAAATATAATTAAATGTATGTTCATGTTTGTTAGTAGATCACAGGTTTTCATGGTTTACCTTTCTAAAGCCATAGTGTGTTGCTTAATATCTTTTTTTTTTTTTTTTTGTACCAGGGATCAAACTCATGACTGTGTGCTTGCAAGGCAGGCATTTATGCCACTGAGTTAAATCCCCAGCCCTTAATATCTTTTAAAAGCGCTAGTGGAGTAAGAATTTCTTTCATTTTTCTTTTTTTTTCCTACCTGTCGCCTTTTTTTGTGATACTGAAGATTGAGCCCTAACCTTTTTTATATACTAAGCTACATCCTCAGTCCTTTTTCTGTTTTCTATTTTGAGATTGGATCTTGCTAAGTCACTAAGTGGCCAACGCTGGGTTTGAACTTGAATCCTTCTGTCTCAGCTTCCCAGAGAGCTGAAATTTGTACCAACACTCTAGCCTTCTTTTTAACTCATAATGCAAATGCATGTATTTATATATAGGAGTTGCTAAGAGATGAAGGCTAATGGTTTAGCAGAGTCTTGGTCTTTAGTTGTTTTTCTTAAAAGTTCATGTGTATAAAAGAAGCTAATAGGCTGAGATGTGATTCAAGGTTAGAGTACTTGCTTAGCATTGACATGGCCCTTGGATTCAATCCCTAGCACAAAAAGAGAAAAGAGAGAAAGGAAAAAGAGATAATCAGTTAAAAAAAAAAAAAAAAAAAAAAAAAGACATGGTAGTAGCAGAGCAGAAAAGCCTTTCTATAGAATTTCATTTTCTTGTAATTCACCTTCATCAATCTGATTTTAATAAATTTGTCTTGATAGTTAAAGTACTAAGCTTTGTTTATTTGTGCAGTACTGAGGATTAACCCATAGCCATCTCACTGAGTTATGTTCCCTGTGCACAGCCTCTAACCCTTGAGTGAGTGCTTGAATTTGTAATCTTCCTCCCTCAACCTCTTAGAGTTCTGGAATTATAGTTCTACCACCATTCTACCACCATGCTTTAGCAGTATGATTAATAAGCATCATGATTTTATGATCTTTTGTGTCTTACTTGTATAGGAGATACTATAAATAAGGCAGAGTAGCTTGATTCAGAAATTGTTTTATACTTCATCTTAGTCAAAAGGCTAAGAAGTGATAGAAATCAGATTTTAGAGATCAGGCTTTGTCTTTATTTCTAAGTGGGATAGTGGGTAAGTCACTCTAGGTCTCAACTCAGATTGCTCTTCTCTGACGGGTGAATATTAATAACTTTGAGACTGGATATTCAGTGTATCTGACAGATTTAAAAGTTTCTACCACCTAGTGCTTAGTAAATAGTAGCTGTTAGCATATTATTATTATACTTCTGAAGGAGCAGAAGGATAGCTAGGATCACTTTTAGTTTCCTGATTAGACACACAAGAATTCAGTATGTTGAGGCAGGAGGATCGCTTTGAGTTCAATGCCAACTTAAGCTAGGTAGTGAGACCTTGTCTGAAAAAATGAAACAAAAAATTGAAATATTGAATGGATTAATGTTTTATAGAAAGAGACAGTATTGTATTTAAGTTCCTTTTGCTTTAAACAATTAAATGTTTCTGCTGTCATTTTTTAGGATAACATGCATTTTGTATTTCTAGATAAATGTCAATCTTTAAGGCCTGAGGTGAATGAAAATGAATGCAGTAAGGAACACAAACTCTCTTGCACGCAGAACCTGGATGATAGTGTGGATGTAGTCTTCAGTAAAAGAGCAGAGGAGAGAAAGGACTCCATCCTTTTGCCAAGGTATTTTCCATGTATTTATTGGTTTTATCTATAATACTTCATCTTGTATTGGTTACTGAGAGTACTGAAATCTCTAAGTGTAAGTGTAAATGTGCATTTCTCATTGTAGTTCTGTTTTTTTTTTTTTTTTTTTTTTGTAACCAAGGATCAAACTCACAATCTTGTGCTTGCCAGGCAGGCACTTATCCTGCTGAGCTAGATCCCCAGCCCTGTAATTGTATGTTTTTACTTTTTTTGTTTTGAACTTCTCAGTAGGTGTGCACATACATAAAGTTGCGTCTTTTGGCAAAATATCCTTTATCACTGTTTACTGTCCTCTGGTATTGCTTTTTTTCTGGTAACCACTTGGTTAGTGTTTACATGTGTTTATCGTTTTGTACAAAGAGTTTCTTTTCTCTCTCTCTTTTTTTTCTTTTGTGGTACTAGGAATGAAACTCAGGGTTTCTTGTATGCCTAGTGAGTGTTCAGCTCATGAGCTACAGCCCTAGCCCTTTACTTGTTTTTTATTATGGTAAAGGTTCTATGATATCTGTCCTCTTTAAAAAAATGTAAGTGTATAGTGTATTAATTCTAAGTGAGTAGTCCTGTATAGCAGGTCTCTGGGACTTTTTCCTCTTGTAGAAACTATATGCATTGGATTTCCCATTTTCTTCTTGCCTCAGCACCTGGAAAGGAATTTTCATATAACCATCTAGCTTTTTGTGTCTGTGAATTTGAGTACAATAAGATATCTCGTGTAAGTGAAACATGTAGTGTTGTATTTTATGTAATGTCCCAGGGTTCATCATGATACAGCATAGGCAGAACTTATTTATTTTTGTCATATCATATTTTTTTGTGTGCTAATGATCAAACCGAGGACCTTTAACATACTACACGGGTACTGTGTTACTGAACTAAATCTCCAGCTGAGAATTTCACTTTTATGGCTGAATAATATTCTGTTGCATGTACATACAGTGTCTCATTTTTGTTGTGTAACTCAGTGGGTGAGTGAGTGTTTTGTTTTCATCTCTTGGCTGTTGTCTTATGTTGTGGTGAGCATTGAGTTGCAGGTATCTTTTTGAGATGGTGATTTTTTTGGTGTTTTGAGATAGGGTTTCACTATGCAGTTCAGGCTGGTCTTGAACTCACTTTCTAGCCTAGGCTGGCCTCAAACTCAAAACAATCCTCTTGCCTCAGCCTTCCAAATGCTGGGATTTCAGGCATGCACCACCACACCCAGCATCCTGATTTCAGTTTTTGAGGGAGTAAATACCCAAGTATGGGATTGCTAGGTCATATGGTAGTTCTGTTTTAAGTTTTGAAGAATCTTCTTACTTGTTCCAGTAACTAGTACACTTTATGTTCTCATCAGCAGTTTATAAAGGGTGTAATTCTTCACATCCTTGCTGAGACATTTTAGGTCTTGATAATTGATACTCTGGCAGGTAGGAGGTGCTGTGTTATTGTTGTTTTGATTTGTATTTTCTTGATGATTGGTGATGTGGAGCACTTTTTCATATCCTGATTAGCTACTACATATCTTCTTGGTACAATTGCCTATTAAATCCTTTGTCCATTTTTATTTATATTATTTATTTAAAGGAACTTTTCTTCTTTTGGAACTGGGGACTGAACTCATGACCTCATGCTTGCTGGGCAGGTGCTTGTGCTGCTGAGCTAAATCCCCATCCCAATTTTTGGTTTTTTGAGACAGGGTCTCACTCTAATTCAGGTTGGCTTTGAACTTACTGTGTAGTCCAGGCTGGCCTTGAACTTGCAGCAGTCTTCCTGCCTCAACCTCTCAACTGCAGAAATTACAGCTGTGTGTCACCATGCCGAACACTTTGTCTATTTTTAAACTGGGTTATTTTCTTCTTTGACTATTGAGTTGTAAGTTTCACTTAAATATTTTGGATATTAACCCTTTATCAGGAATATGGCCTACAAATGTTTTTTGTCATATATAGGCAGCCTTTTTATTATTGTTTTCTTTGCTCTGCAGAATTGTTTTAGTTTGATATAGTTCCACTTGTTTAATTTCGCCTTTGTTGCTGTGCTTTTAAGGGTTACAACTAAGAAGTTGCTAAAGCAGTGTTGCAAAACTTTTCCCATGTTTTCTCCCCATGTTTTCTTTTAGAGATTCTAAATTTTCCAGTCTTAACTTTAAAATTTTTAATCCCTTTTAATCAGGTTGACTTTTTATATGGCATAAATTAAAGGTCCAGGTTCTTTTTTTTTTTTTTTTTTTTTTATTTTTTGAGTTTGGTCATACTATGTAAGTAGGCTGGCCTTGAACTCACTGTGTAGCCCTGGTTGGCCTCAAATTCATGCCAATCCTCCTACCTCAGCCACCTGAGTGCTGGGATTACAGATATGCTCCACCGTGTCTGCTGTGTTCATTCTTTTGCCTGTGGGTATCCACTTTTCCTAGCAACTTTGTTGGAGAGACTGCCCTTTTCCCATTGTGTAGTGTGACTCCTTTATCAAACATTTGCCTATAAATGTGAGAGATTATTTCTTTTCTCTTTGGTCTTCTTGAGACAGGGTCTTGCAGTGTAGTTCAGGCTGGCCTTAAACTCATTTTGTAGCTCAGGCTGGCCTTGAACTCACAGCAATCCTCCTGCCTCAGCCTTCCAAGTGTTGGAATCACAGGCACACACCATCATGCCCATCTGTGGAATTATTTCTGGATTTACTGTTCCATTTCACAGATTAATATGTCTGCCTTTATGCCTCTGCTGTGCTATAGTTTTGTAATATGTTTTGAGATGAAGAAATGTGAGGCTTCCAGCTTTTTTTCTTTTCTTTTAGTTTTAATTTTAATTTTAATTTTGATTTACTCTGCTTGAGGTTCTCTGCCCTTCTTGAATCTGTGATGTGAGTTCCTTTCATTATGCTTGGAAAATTGTTGGCCATTCTTTCTTTGTTTCTTCCTTTTTTTCTTTCTAGATATATAAATGTTTATACCTATATCATAAAATTTGCTGTATTAGCTCTTTTTAAGCATTGATTTAGGGGCATTGATTACATTTACAGTTTTGTGTACAGTTACTCTATTTTTAACACCCCCCTACCCCCAGATAGGGGCTGGGGATTTAGCTCAGCAGCATAAGCGCCTGCCTTGCAAGCAGGCAGTCGTGAGTTTGATCCCTGGTACCGATAAAAATGAAAAAGACAAAAAAAAAAAAAATTGCCAGATAGCCAGATGTGGTAGCATATGCTTGTAATTCTAGCATTTTGAGAGGCTGAAGCAGGGAGATTTCAAGTTAAAGTCCAACACCTTATTGACATAGCAAGAGCCTTTCTCAAAAATAATGTTTTTTTTTTTTTTTTTTGTATTGGTGATCGAACTCATGACTTGCATGTGCCAGGCAAGTGCTTGTGTCACTGAGCTAAATCCCAGGCCCTCAAAAATAATGTTGCTTACAAAGACCCCAATACTGCTCCCCAAAAGAATCACATATACAAGTTAAGGTATAAATGGTAAAGTCAGTTATGAAGAAGAAATATATTAAGATGTATCCTAAAACTAGACTAATGAAAGTAGCATGATAGAATTGATTCTATGGAATTGAACATCTAGTCTAAGAGAAGACATATAGGGATCCAGTATATGACCAAGATAATAACTTATTTTTGGGTACCAGGGATTGAATCCAGAGTCTCTTTGCACTATGCCCTGAGCTAGCTCTACCCCCTCACTTTTTTTCTCAATTTTTTGAGACAGTCTCACTATATAGTTCAGGTTGGTCTTGAACTCACTATGTGCCTCAATCTCCCAAGTGCTGGGATTATATTGAATCACCCTCCCCCACCCCGTTTTTAGACTGAGTCTTAACTAAAGTTGGCTCAGTGACTCATGTTGGCTATGAACTTGATCCTCCTGCTTCAGCCTCCCCCGGTGTGCTGGTATTACAGATGTACTGCCACTATGCCCAGTTGAGATGGCTTTAGAATTCAGTGGGCGAAGATTAACTATTCATTAGATGGTGCTGAGGTATGAAAAAGATAATATCAGATCACTGTTTTACCCTATCCATTAACTTTCTGATGGATTAAAGACCATAAAAAAGATCTTAAAAGCCTTTAGAAGCATATAAGAAAATATCATTATCATGTCAAAGATTTCTTAAAATAGGTAGAAAAATTAAATAGAAGCTCCATAAAAAAGTAAAAAGCAAGCTGCTGATAGGAAAGTTTTATGTTTAATACCATACCCATAAAAATAGAGAACTCTTATTGATATATCAGAAAAAGACAAACAGTACAAAAAATGAGGAAGAAAAAAGTACAACTAAATGTGAACGTGTGTTGAAACAGTGCTATTTAGTATGTGGCTGTCGGTTGTATTGTTGATTAATGTGGCATATATTATACCATAGTACCATGCACTGCAAAGACTGCCTAGATGCAAATTAATTAGTTAATGAGTTTATTTGTTAATTGGTACTGGGAACCAGGCTCAGGACTTTGCACTTGCAGGTAGGCATAGTGCTGCTGAGCTATACCCTGGATCCCCTAGATGAAATTTTAATGAAAACTAATTTCAAAATATTATTGCTACTTAACACATTCATTTGCTTCGTGAACCCCATTGAACTAGTAGTTGTTCATTTAGAATCTTCTTGAATAGTTTTCTATTTTTGATTTGAAGACTTGTTGAGCACAGACAGATTATGGCTGCTGCTGTGTATGAAGGTACAAGTGGTCATAACATGATGGAGGGAGGATCATAGTAAAGCCAGTGTAACTGCTTTTATCATTTTCCAAAGTCTTGATTCATTTTATGTATTAAAATAAATCTTTTAAAAAGTATGAAGATAGTATTGACGCATTTCCATTTCCTTAGTCATCAACGTGGTAATATACCAGCAACAAACAAGTCGTCTGAATCCAGCCCTTCAGCTTTGTCTCTGCCAGAAGCTGGGGTCACAGCACTGTGTGAGGTGAATCCTGCCAAGCAGAGTTGTACAAAAGAAAGAGATGTTGACCAAAAGGGTGAATCACTGTAGGTATTTTACATGGTAGGATTTATTTATTTTCAAAATTTTGATGAAATTCTTAATACATTTTCTTTGGTGGTAGTGGTGGTGGTGGTGGTATTAGGGATTAATTTTGATAAGGTTCTTAAAACTTTTTTTGTTTTGGTGGTGGTCCTGGGGATTAAACTCAGAACTTCATGTGTGCTAGCTTAGCACTGTACCACTGAACAACCCATCAGCCCTTGCTAAGTTTTCTTAAGTGATAATGTTACTGTATTTAGGAAATAGAAGGGACCATTAATATATAGATCATTCAATATGTAATTTTTTTTGTTTTATTCTGGTTGGTTTTTTGGGGAGGCATGTGTGTTTGAGACAATGGCTCGCTATACAGTTCAGGCTCACTATGTAGTTTGGGCTGATCTTGAACTCCTAGTGATTCTCCTACCTCAGCTTCCTGTGTGCTAGGATTATAAGTGTGCACCTCCGTACCAGGCTGTGTGTAACTTTAGAAAGCCATGCTTCACCTCAAGATTATAAAATAACCTGCCCATGTTTTTCTATGGTTTCATTGTAATCTTTGATTACTTAGTGTATGCTCTTAGCGCAGTGCTAGGCATGGAGCTAGTCCTAGTTTTCCTATTATCTATAATTTCCCCCATACCATTTAATTTTATCTGAGTAAAAAATGTTGTATATTATATCTTCTCACTGTTTTGAGATACTACTATTAATGTACTAAAATCACATAAGAATTTTGGAATCACTTTCAGTTTTATTTTTTCTCTGTTTATTCATATGTAAGTTTAAGCAAAGTGTTTTAATTACTGATCCTGAATAGTTTATTTTTAACACCTGACTGAACAAGTTAGTCTCTTCTGTTTTCTTTGCTACCTTTGTAGGTAAGAAAGCTTTTAAAGATCTTTCTGATTCTGAGTGGGTTATTTTAGAATGTTTTAAAATTTAATTTGAATATAACTGTATACTAGTTGCAGTGTAAATAATTTTAATCTTTTAGGGAAGCTGATCAAGCCGAAAATGTTAAACCAGTGTTGAGAGGTCGACTCCAGAGACCCAAACCCAACCTGTCAAGGGCAGCTGGGAAGAAGCGAGTTCTTTCACATGGCAAAACAAATGCAGAGAGTGAGAGTTCACATTCAGAAACCTCCACTGAAAAGGTGTGGTAGAAGAGATATTGTGGAAATTAAATTATAAAAATCATCTAAATATTTGAAAATAAAAATATTTAGCTTGTATAAAGTTATAAACTACTGTTACAAGGGTTAAAAAAACAGATAAGAACTTACACAGTAATACTAGATTTGTTATTATCTGTTACATGTGTTGTTTTTTTTTTTTAAGAAGTTAGACATATCGCTTGAGAAACAGTGATAACATTTTGGTTTACTTAAATACAATGTTTATTTAAAATATTTCTTAAACCAGTTATACATTAAATCATACCCACAACTCTTTAATTTAAACATATACATTGTTTTGTTTGCATTGTCAAAAAGAAAGTAATCCCAGCACTAAGGAGGCTGAGACAGGAAGATCACCACAAATTTGAGGCCAGCCTGGGATACTTGGGGACTTCAAGCCCAGCCTAACGTCCATAGCAAGAATTTATGGTGCTCCTCCTGCCTCAGCCTTTTGAGTGCCTCATCATGCCCAGCTTATATATTTATAATTAAAAATTTTTTCTTTGGGTCAAATCTCTTTAAAAAATGTTGGTCAATGTTTTTCTTTTTTATGTGAATACTATATTTTCTTTTTTTATGGTACTGGTGCTTGAACTCAAGTGCCTCATCAATGCTGAGCAGGTGCATAGTGAGACAAGGTCTCACTGTGTATTTCAGGCTGGCCTTGAACTCATGGAGATCCTTCTGCCTTAAGTCTGCCAAGTGCTAGGATTACAGGTGTGTGTCACTATGCTTGGCTCTCATTACATTTTTTTGTAATACAGCACCATAATCTTGTAGGATTTTATTCTGGAAAATTGGAAAATACAATTTGATTTAAAAGTGAATAATTATTGGTAATTTCTTTTTTTTCTTTTTTTTTTTAATCAGTATCGGGGATCGAACTCACGACTGCCTGCTTGCAAGGCAGGTGCTTATGCCGCTGAGCTAAATCCCCATCCCCTATTTGTAATTTCATTATTCAGATGTGGCCAGTTTTTCTATGTTTTATCATTCAGAGTTTTTCTGTTTTTGTGATAACAGGAATCAGACCTAGGACCTTAAACATGCTGGGCAAACTGTACCATTCAGTTATATCCCTCATACCTTCTAGGTTTTCTTTTTCTTTCTTTCTTTTTGCAGTATGGGAGATTTAATCCTAGGTTACGGAACTATAACACCAGCTCTTTTTGTTTTGGACAGGTTCTTGGTAAATTGCTCAGGTTGGGCTTGAACTTGTGATCCTCCTGCTTTAGTCCCCCAAGCAGCTGGGATTACAGGCATGTGTAACTGTGCCTTTTCTCGTGCAAGCTTTCTTTTACACATCTGAGTAGTAGTGTCAGTAAAGATTTATATCTTTTGGTACTTAAAATTTAGTAAATACTTCTTTTGACCTTTTGAAAGCATAATTTTTTTTTTTTGTCTTTTTCTTTTTTATCGGTACCAGGGTTCGAACTCAGGACTGCCTGCTTGCAAGGCAGGCGTTTATGCTGCTGAGCTAAATCCCCAGCCCCGAAAGCATAATTTTTTATAGATATTCTGTCAGTGATGTGTAACTGAATTTCTTTTTATTTTTTTTTTTTTGAGACAGGGTCTCTATGCAGTTCAGGCTGGCCTTGAGCTCACTTTCTAGCCAAGGGTGGTCTCGAACTCCCAACGATCTTCCTGCCTCAGCCTCCCGAGTACTGGATTACAGGCATGCGCCAACACACCTGGCTATAACCATTTCTTTATTACTGAAAAAGTGTCTCTACAGTGTTTGCTATTACACAATGTTCTAATGAACATTCTCAAACCTCAGTCTTTTTCTAGTTACTTAGATAGTCTTCAAATGGATGTTAGCAAGGCTGTTGAGTAATGTGTAAGGAAGTTTGCTGTTTTTTAATATTCTCAGGAGTTTTAGAATGTCTTTTTTTTTTTTTGTACCAGGAATTGAACTCATGACCTTCTACTTGCCAGGCTGGCTCTTTGCTGCTGAACTATATATCCCTGGTCCCTAGAATCTCTCTTAGGAGTACAAAAATTAAGTTTCATTCTTTTAATTCTTATTTGATTATTGCAGTTTGAATTATTTTTGGTGAGATTAAATGCAAAAAATTCATTTTCCAGAATCACATTGAAAAGGATAAAATGAATACATTTGACAGTGGTGGAATGGAGAATGCGGAAAAAGAGAACCCAGAAGCTCAAACTATGTCTAAGTAAGTAATTAAGAAATACTGCAGAAACTGCTAAAAATTATTGCAGTTATTTGTTTTCTATTTAATAAAATCTCAGTTTTCTTTTGAGATAGTGTACTCTTGAGACTGTTTTAAACTGTAAGTGGTGTTGAAACATTGTAACAGCCTCTGTATGCTTGACATTGTGGGCAAGAGTTACAGTATGAGTATACTGATTTAGCAATTACATTGTCCCACCACTTTATCTTTTTTTGGTACTGGAGATTGGATTTACAACCACACATTGCTAGGCAGGTGCTGTGCCACTGAGCTATATCCCCAGCCTCCCTCTACTTTATTAACAAGACAGACTGACTGTGCTTGCCTGCCTGCCTGCCTGCCTGCCTGCCTGCCTGCCTGCCTGCCTTCCTTCCTTCCTTCCTTCCTTCCTTCCTTCCTTCCTTCCAAGTATACCACACTTTTTATTTCAACGTGGTCATTTTTGTGATGGCCGGGAGTTTGGTCTCAAAACAATGTTCCATTTAAGGCTCTTTTATATAGAAATTGCCATCATGACTGATACTTGAACTGTCTTTAGTGTTGCAAGATTCGAATAGTAAATAAAACTTCTACATTGTTTGGTAGTATACATTCAACAAAAAAGCGCAAAAGGCATTAATATTTAAGACACAGGGTAGCAGGAATCAATACTGAGGTACTAAGATAAACTGATGATACAGTTAATGAATGTTAATTGACATTCCTTTCAGAGGATTAAATGCATTACAAAAAAAAATAGTGTTATATCTGTGCTCCCATCTCATAAAAATAGGCTTGCCAAAACAAGTGAGGTACATGAATGTAGAGCACCTCACAGAACTGCAATCAAGTGCAGCTATAAATAATACTGAAAAAATTTTATCTCACCAGTGGCCAATACTGTCTTTATTTTATTTTATTTTATTTAAGGAGAAAAAGGGGTAAAAAAGCAGAAAAAGGGTACAAGTTATACAGAATTTCAGAAAAAAAATAAACAGGAAATCACTAGTTACTGGATTACATATTGTCATCTTAGAAATATTTGTTCAAGTTATAAAATTAAAGCATATAAAGTGGACATTCAAACAGTGAGACTGCAAAAAGTTCTGTTCAATGATCCAACAAAACTCAGTAATTTCATTGTCTTATCTTATACACTTAGTATACATGCAATTATATCGTTAGAGCACTTTTTTTCCTCTCTTTTGTACAGTGACTATTACATATTTTGGGTTTTATTACTCCCACGGTTCTTATTACTTTTTTGGAGTAGAGTAAAACCAAATGTGACATAACAGAACAGAGTCGGTCAAATCAAAAGGGTGGACATAATAGATAATGTAAAAACATAATACAAGGTGATCAACAATGGTTACCATAATGCCTCCCGCTATCTCAAATAGAATTACTTATATCATCAGTTATAATAAAATTGAACAAAACAGTAAAGAACGAAACCAACAAAACCAAAACATGGGAAACATTACAGGTCTTCAAAAGTAGATAATAGTCAACCAGGATGGGCATCATAATGAATCCCACTATCTTCACCCCTGTTGCCTAAACTTTCGAACCTGGTACTATCAAGCAAAACAGAATAGAGGAACATCAGTCAAAACAAGATGGTGAGAGCAATACAGGGCTTCAAATCAAGTTAATAGAAAATCAGAGTGGGTTATTATAATATATCCTGCTATTTTTTTATTTTTCCCTTAATTTAAAGGATAAAAATAAAAAAGTAAATAATAAAATGGAGATTGAGATCAAAGAGGGCATAACAACAAAACAGCGCAGATCAAATCATAACCATTTAAGCAAAATAGTGCTTTACAAGATAATCCCGACATAAAAGTAGTTGCCATATTGTCTTCTTTCCTTGAAATCTTTGAGTATACCTTCATATGCTGTAGCATCAAATATATCAAAACAATGTGAAATCATTCAAGAGAATGACAGTATTACAGGGTATTTAGAATCAACTAACAGAAAATGAACAATGGTTTCTGTATAATCTCCTTGTCTATAAAAGTTTTTGTTTATACTATCACATATAATAAAATCCAATAAGATACAACATGTTAAGACCTATGGAGACAGAAGAACAAAAGCTTGATGGGACTTCAAAGCAAGATGATACTAAATCAGCATTACTTATTATGATGTTGTTTTCTCCAAAATAGCTGTTCCTGTCATCCAATCTTCTCTGCCTCATTTTTGTTGAGCTCTTTTTCTGTCATTAGTTGTCAGTTTGTCTTCTTCATTTTGTTTTCTGCTCCATTCAATGTGGCTTCTCTGCCACTATTTCTGGAATCTTCGTATTTTTCTTTTTTAGAATATCCTGCAGTATTCTCTGTAGGGTTGAATTGATGGTTGTATATTCCCCTAGTTCTTCTTTATCTTGGAAGCACCTTGTTTTTCCATCAATTTCCAGGGATAGTTGTGCAGGATATATCAATCTTGGCTGGAGATTATTATCTTTCAAAGCTTGAATTATTTCCTCCCACGCTCTTCGTGATTTGATGGTTTGTGCCGAGAAGTCTGCTGTAATTCTGAGAGGCGTTCCCTTGTAAGTGATCTGTTTCTTGTCTCTGATGGCTTTTAATATTCTGTTCTTATATTGGATTTCTGGTATTTTGATTATTATATGCCTGAGTGTAACTCTGTTTGGGTTGTAGGTGGCTGGGGTCCTGTATGCCTCATACATCTGAGTATCTTTACCTTTTGCTAAATTAGGGAAATTCTCCTGGATTATTTCTGTGAATAGCTTTTGTAGTTCATTTGTTTGTGTCCCTACCTCTTCTTTTATGTTCTTAATTCTTAAGTTATAGATCCTCTTATCATCTTCTAGCCTTTGTATTATTGCTGTTTGTTTCTTTGTTATTTTTGAGAAGTTTTTCATTTCATGCTCCCGTATTACAAATCTGCCCTCCAGTTCAGATAATCTATCCTTAGTTTCTTTCAAGCTGTTATGCCAGTTTTCGATAGAGTTTTTAGTTTCCTGGTAATCTCTTTGAACCTGCTTCACGTATTCTATGTTTTCTCTATTTTTTCCATCAAACAATTTTCCCCTTTTTTTTCTGTTCTTCCATTCCACCATCTGTTTTTTTTTTCTTGGGTGGTGCTTAGCATTTCTCTAACTATTCTGCTTATGTCTTTCTTCAGGTCATTAATAACTTCATTGCTGAACCTGTCTATGAGGCTCTGGAGATAGCGCTTTATGTCTATTGGTGCCGTGTTTGCTATTGCCTGTTTCTCAGGATTGGGGGCCAAGGAGCCTTTCTTATTGCTCCCTCTTCCCATATTCTTTGTTCCTTATATACAAGCGTATATAAGAGGCCCAGCTTCCTTCCCTGTCAGCCACAGTCTATTTGAATTGTGCCGGCTAGGTGTTCCTGCCCACCGCAGAGCACCAGGGAGTTACGGACCAGACAGCCTATGCGGGGACCGCCCCTCCAGGTCAACCTACCAAAGGCTTCACCGCTAGGGTGTACTTCCAGGTGCTTGGACCTGGGTTGTGCTAGCCTACTGGGTCTCAGCCAGCAGCGTCACTTAGAGTAGGCACTGCTCACCAATCCGGCTTGAGAGGGGGATATGTGACTGAAGTCACTACAGTGCCCTGCTCCGGCAGGTCTGCCTGGTCCCAGAATGTCCTCTGTTGGAGCCTCCTAGATCGTGGAAGAGTCCCAGTTTTCCCTCACTCTCCGAAGGTTGATGCACAGCTCCCTGCCTGTCTGCTCTCAACTCCGTTCACCGATTCCCATTCTCAGAGCTTTTGCGCGTCTTTCTCCCTGCCGAGCCAATTCAGACACTGCTGCAGGGGCGGCTTCCAATGGCGCGAGCTTCAGCTTGCATGCTGAGGTTTTATCTGTTCCTGTTATAGCACGAGGATTGCATTCTCAGTTGGTTTCTCTCAGCCCAGTTCGTTCTTGGGTCAGCAAGGTATATCTCCTCTTAGGATTCCTCACTCTGCACCATTCCTGGATTCTAAGCTGGGTCTTTCAGAGAGCCTCCGTAGCTGCTGCTATCTGTCTGCCATGTTCTCCCGGAAGTCCTCGGCTAATACTTTCAAGGCATTCAGTTAGCTTATCTTCTGCAGTATTCTAAGTTAGTTACATTGATGGTCACCTTCATTGTAGTCCTTTCAGCAAGGAAGGCATGTAACCAGTAGTTTTGGCTACTAAAAGTAGGGAGTTATTCTTTGAGTTGTACATAAAAGTAATGGTGTTAGTCTAATGGCAGTTACTCACAAGCTGCTTACACAAAGAAGGAGAATGGTATCTCCTCATTCATTATGTTCGAAAGGTTCATTGGAAAGAGAACAAAACAAAAAAACAAAATGTAGTACTATTCCAATGGACTGAGCTGGAAAAATGAAAACCCAATATGATCCAGATGATACTCGACTGTCATTTTATGACAGTTTCCCTTCCAGTAAAAGTACTACATTGCCTCCCAGTTTCTCTGCAGGTGTTGAATAGTCCTTAATACCATCCAAGTTGTGTACTTGCTGCTTGTGCTTAATACCTATAAATTTCTTTTCATGGCATCTTCAGAGCTAGCATAAATTGTCTTGTTTTTTATTGGTGTACTTTCAGGAGTTGAAGATCTGCTTTGCTTTCTTTACTATTATTTGTCTTTTTTCATCACGTAAACAGACGGCTGCTTTCTTTCGCTTTTGATTTCCTCTTGTGTAGAAGATTTCCTTACTTTCTTTTTTTTTTTTTTTTTGGCTTTTTTCGTTTTTATTGGTACCAGGGATTGAACTCACGACTGCCTGCTTTCAAGGCAGGCACTTATGCTGCTGAGTTAAATCCCCAGCCCCTGATTTCCTTACTTTCATATCGTTAAAAGCTTCGATAACTTCATCATTCACTGTAACTCCAGATGCCATAGTGCCTGTGCTGTGAATGTAGTGGTGGATTGTGCTTGTGTTTGGTGGTGCTGGCAGAAGGAAAAGAGGGGCAGAAGGTGGCAAGTGCAGACATGCAAGGAGCTGCAGCCCTGGGGGTGAGACTGATGGATGCAGGGCCTAAGAAGATTTTCTTAACATACATCTTTATTATTAACAAAATCTGGCCAGGCATTGTGGCACATGCCTGTAATCCCAGCACTCAGGAGGCTGAGACAGGAGAATAGCCACAGTTTGAGGCCAGTCTGAATGGCAAAGTGAGACTTGTGTCAAAAAGATTTTTTTTTCTTTTGAAATAGGTAATTAAAATGCATGTTTCCAGGGCCAGAGATACAGCTTAGTGGTACAGTGCCTGCTTGGCAAGTGTGAGGTCCTGAATTTGATTCCTGGTGCCCCCCCCCAAACAAACAAACAAACAAACACAGAAACAAAAACAGAAACATACATTTCTGGGCCCAGTAGGTGGTACTCATCTGTAATCCCAGCACCCGGAGAAGCTGAGGTAGGAGAGTTGCAAGTTTGAGCCCAGTGTGGGCCATTTAGCTGGTTCACAAGGCCCTGTCTCAAGAAATAAGGTATGTTTCTGATAAGAAAAGTATGTATCTGGTAAGATATATTTATAGTAAGGGTTCTCCAAAGGGAATGCTTAACTCATATGGAGATCTAGGACAGTCTACTCCCAATCTGATGCCAACCAGTGGGTTCTGTGCTACTCCAGTAGATGACATTTATGCTGTAACCAGAGTTTAGGTACCTAGAGTTGCACATTCTTCATTATTATTTTGAATGAAGACAAATAGTTGACATCATTGGCATATGTAAATTTTCCAGTTTTGTGGTGAAATTTTGATATAAAAATGCCTTTTATAGTCAGGTTTCCAGAGCTCTTACCTATTTGGAAGAGTAGGACATATAAATATCTTAAAGACTCTTGTATCTTATATTCAAATGGGTTATTCATGTCAGGGAGAAGGAAGTACTGAAAAAATAAGCACATTTATGAATTGAGAATAAATGTTGAATTTTTTTTTGTGATTATTGTAGTTTAAGTGAAAAAACTTGTTTCCTGGAAGATAATCAACCAGAGGTTACCAGACCTGTATCACAAGTGAGGGGCCGATTACAAAGGCCAAAGCCAAATGTAGGGAAAACTGCAGAGAGAAAAGAAAGAGTCAGATGCCGAAGAGGGAGTGGGGTCAATGGAGAGGAGAATCAAAATGAATCCTGTGTTGACAAAGATAGTCTCGTGAGTACATAAATCTTTAATAAATTTCTCATTCCTTTTAAAACCAGCATGACTACATAATTTGTGTACTGTACATTATTTATTAAATTTATGGCCAAAGTCTCTTGGTCAATAGCAGTTGCTAATTTTAAAGGCATTTTACATTTAGAGTATTTACAGGATTGCTACATTGTTTTTACTTTACTTAATATTTGGACTTTCTTTGTTTGTCCCTCAGTGAATTTTTTTTTGTTTGTTTTTTGAGACAGGGTTTTGTCTTAGGTATGTAGCCAAGTTCAAAATCATGACTATGCTCCTGCCTCAGCTTCCTGAATGCTGAGACTATGGGCATTTGCTACTATGCCTAGCTGCTCAATGAATATTTGAATTACTCTTCCCTTTTGAAAAGATAGTGAAATGTGTGATTCAACATTTGCTTAACAGAATGAAATGTTAAAAGCTTCCCACTAAAATATAATCCCAAGAACAAAGATCATGAATTTTAGGTTATATATATAGTCTTTGTGAAAAGGTTAAAAGTTGGTGTGCTTCGAGTTAGGTTTCTTCTATTTTGACCCCTGTGTGTATGATGCAGTTATACTAATCAGAAGGAATCCAAAGGGCATCTGAAGACAGATGCCATGGAATGCTACTAGCTCTGTGATTTGGCATTGAAGAGTAGGAACTTAAGATAGGTAGTTGAAAGAGCACCTTCCGAAATTTTCTAAGTCACCTAAACCACCCCCCAACCATAAAAACAAACCATACATTCAAAAGCATCCTTTGAGTATCACTTTATAATTTTTTTTTTCACTGCTGTAGGAATTGTTATATTACTTTATAATTTTAAAGTTTTTAATATTTTCATTATACTCAAATCAAAATTTGCATTGAAATTTTTAAAAAATTACATATCTCATTGTGAAACCTAAAAGATTTAAAAAAATTGTTTTTATTAAAGATATCTCAACTGATCGAAGATCAATCATATAAAAATTTGGGATGTGAAGACCTTGTAAAGCAACCTGAGGAAAAACATGCTTCTTTTCAGAATGTACAGCCAAATGAGCACAGGACACTTAATGAATGTCTAAGGTAAGCATCATTTGATTGAGTAATATTTGAACTTTTTACATAGAGTGTTATAACTCATTTTGTCAGTGGAAGTGGTTTTGGCTCCTGACTGGCCCTTGTCAGAATTTTCTTTATCTTTCTTTTTTTTTTTTAATTTTTATTTTAAAGAGGGTAAAATTAAACACAACAAAACAGAACAAAATAGGACATAAGAAAGCAATGTGAGAGATATAAATTTCAAAGCTAGACAATCTGAGATCTTCAGTATCTATCAGATTGTCTCTTGATTTCTTCCAAATAGTTGTCCATGTCTTCACATACAGAGAAATCATACAAAACAACATAGTATAAAACTGGTAGAACCGAATGAGGAAGGCGTTTTAGGTCTTTAAAACCAGACAATCGGGAAATCACTAATGGCTGTCGTAGAGTCTCTGATTCTCTTCAAAATAGCGGTCTATACTTTCATGCATATTGAAGTTCAACAAAACAAAACAGGCTAAAATAATACCATTAATTAGAACAAAGCAAAACAGGGATGAAAATACTTGCCTTCAAAGAGATGGTAGAATAAAATCCTCCCTCTTTGCTGCATTGCTTATGGTCAACATCTCAAGGGATGTCCAGATCACTGGCTCCCACTTGCTAATCGGAAGAGGGGAGGGAGGATATGGATGTGATGTTTGATTGGCTCACAGCCGCTCACTGGTGGGGGTGAGGGGTGGGGGGTGCTTGGTTTCCTGGGGCTCCAGGTCCCAGCGTAGAGCGGGTCCCAGGGCTGGTTGGCCCTCGTGGCTCCTGTCCTGGGCTGCCTTCCTGGGCTGCCAGGCTTGCAGGCTGCAGCCCCTCCCGAGGGGGAGGGGTGTGTGTGGCTGGGTGGTGGCGAGGTGGGGGGTTGCTTCAAGCTGTTTCTTTCTAATGAATTGACCATTTCACTGCCCAAGTTCTGAAATGGCCAACAGACCATAGAAAGACATATCTTTAGGCTCCTGCTTGAAACCCACAGCGTCAGGAAGCTACTGACCTTGATTCAGGGCCAATCTTTATCTTTCATGAGCCATCAGCTTTCAAACTGACATGTGACTTTTTTCTGTGTTTGGTTACTCTAGTGGTTGTCATTAGGTACTGAGAGAGACAGATACTGTTTCTTAGCTTTAGTCACCTTTGCAAAAGAAGGAATAACAATCAGTTTTTGTAAATTAGAAACAATTCTTTATTTTTATTAGCTCTTCTCGCTCTTTTTTTTTTGTTTTTTTTGGGTGCCAGGGATCAAACTCATGACTGAGCGCTTGCAAGGCAGGTGCTTATGCCCCTGAGGTAACCCCCCGGCCAACTTCTCTCTTTTTTTTTACTCGGTACCGGGGATCAAACTCATGACCACCTGCTTGTAAGGCAGGTGCTTATGCTGGTGAGCTAAATCCCCAGCCCAAGCCTCTCTTTTTTTTTAAACTATGGTTTTAAATTTTAATTGACACAGTGGTGACACTTTTTTGGAAAATACCTGTGACATTTCAGTACATATAATATATAATAATCAGAACTCAGTAATTGACAAATCTATCACCAATTTTTCTGTATTGAAAACATCCACCAAATTTCTCTGCTAGCTATTTAAAAATACTTCCCCAAATTGTGGTCAACCATTCTGTTGTGCTATAGAGCATAAATTACTTCTACAGTTTTACTACCACATCCATTAACCATCCTCTGCCTCCTGCACTTGGACTTTTGATTGTTTATTGTGCTGTAACGTTGTCACCAGACAAGATCCAAGGAGGTCTCTAAAGTAGAAATGGGGACCCTAAACCTACCCCAAACAGTTTGCTTATTACCGTTGCAAAGAAATGATTTTTAAGACCCACTCATTAAGAAGCATGAAGAAATCTATTGGGCAGAAATTAAAGAACACACTCAAAGAAAATAGAATATACCCTCTCCAGAGGGGCCATGTGTCCTTCCTAATAAATATATTTTTTAAAGCTGCTACGGTAAAAAATGTGTATTTGTGAGTATGTTCATTCAGCCTGATGTAACTGAATAAATGTAATGTTTCATTTGATCTATCTTTTTTTTTTTTTTTGTGCCGGGGATTGAACTCATGACCATGTATTTGCTAAGCAGGCACTTTTGCCACTGAGCTAAATCCCTGGCCATTTGGCCTACCTTTTGCCCAAGATTAATAAGCTTTTAAAATGACCACTAAGAGCCTGTTCATTTGTTTTGTATCATTTTTTTTATCCTTTTTACTCTTTTTTTTTTTTGGTACCCGGGATTGAACTCCGATCACGTGCTTGCAAGGCAGGCGCTTATGCCGCTGAGCTAAATCCCCAGCCCTTTTTATGCTTGATAATGAATAAAACAAAACTGAATGCTACTACTTTTTTGGAGAACAAGGTCCTTGTTCTAGATAGTGATTGATTACATGTATAGCAGCATTCAGCAAAATGTGTATTTAATGTCATTTTATTGCTCTTGTTTCATGAAATCACAGGCTGATAGAGAAACGTCATATAAGAAATCTTGTTTTAATTTGCTTTTTAAGTGTGGAGCTATGTGTGGTGGTACGTGCGTGTAATCCTAGCATTTGGAGTTTGAGGGGTTTGAGTTCATCCTGGGTTACACAGTAAATTCAAGGCCAGCCTGGACACTATAGTAAGATTCTGTCTCAAAAGGCAAAAATAAAAAACAAAAAAACAAAGTCCCTTAAAAAAATGTATTTAATTAATTTAAAATTTTACTGTGATTTTAAAAGATGGGGGCCCCTCCACTTTGATATTTAGATTTCACGTAGAATTTTGGGGGGAGGATACCAGAGATTGGACCCAAGCACAAGTGTAAACAAGCACTCTACCATTGTGCTGCATCCCCAGCCATTTTACTTTATTTTATTTTACTATACTCTTTATTTTACTTTGTTTTGCTTTTATTTTACCTTTTACTGTACTTGACTATTTTAATTTTGGCTTTTTGAGACAGGGTCTTTCTATGTATCCCAGGCTGCCCTTGAACTTACTGTGTATCCCGGGCTGGCCTTGCAGCAGTCCTCCTTCCTCAGCCTTCCCAGTGCTGGAACTACACGCATGTGCCACCACACCCACATCACTTTCTTTTGAGACAGGATCTCTCTGAGGGGTCTAGGATGATCTCATATTTGGAATCTTTCTGTCTTCTTAGATTTCTGAATAGCTGGGATTATAGGCATGTGCCATCCCATCTGATTTCTTCACTACATTTCTCCTCCTCCTCCTCCTCTTTTTCCTTCTCCTTGTCTCCCTACTCCACACCCTCTTTCTGCTGGGGATTCAATCCAGGCCCCTGTAAGCACATGGTGTACCACAGAACTATACTCTGGCCCCTTAATTTTTTACATTTTAAACTGATGTTTTCATAGTGATTTCTCAACCACCATTCTCTTTGACTGACAGTCTGATTTAGAACTTGATTGTCTTTCTTATTTTTAATAGCATTCAAGAGGATAATCGAGAAAATGTACTCAAAGAAGTCCCAGTTCTAAGAACTCATTTTCCGAAACCAAAGCCAAATATAGTAAGAGCAGTTGGAAGAAGAGAGATTCCTTCAAAGGAATCAGTATCAGAGAAGAGTCTTGTCTCTGGAGAAGCTGTGAGAGAACTTGTAAGACCAGATGTTTCACCAGAGGAGAAGATACCAGTGGTCCCCACTGCAGCTTCTAAGGAAATGAAGCCAGATTTACGAGAAACTGGAAGAAAAGACATCTCTTCCAGTGAGAACATACCAGGGGTGACTGATGTTACTGTGCAAGTGGAAACAGAGTTGGAAGGAACTTCGAGGGACAGATTAGTGGAAATGACTGATGTCACTGTGGCAATGGAGACAGGTTTGAAAGCAACTGTGATAGAGAGTCCCCCAAGGGAGAAGACACCAGAATTGATGGATTCCACTGGGGAAATAGAGACAAATTTAGAGGAAAGCAGAACAGAAATGTTTCCGCAGGGAAATGACTCAGAGGAGGTCATACCTGTAGGTGAAACAGAAACAAGATCCCAAGAAACTCGAAGAGAGATCCCCACAGGAGAGAGGATGTCGGAGGTGATTGATGTCACTGAAGAAAGAGAGTCAGATTTAGAAGAAATGGAAAGAGAAATATCCATCCCAGGAAAGGTCTCAGAGGAGGTAAAAACTATAGGTGAAATGGAAACAGATTTGAAATACCTAGAAGGAGAAATTTCCCACAGGGAGAAGGTAGTAATAGATTTCAGTCCTCTAGGGGAAAGGGAGATTAGTTTGACAGAAACTGGAAAAGGAGACATTTCTCTGATGGAGACGATATTAGGAAAGATGACTGTCACTGAGGGAACAGAGGCACATTTGAAGGAAACTGGAAGAGAAATTTCTTTGAGGGAGAGAGGAGCTGAGGAGATTGGTGTTATTGAGGAAACGGTAGCAGATTTGGAGACAACTGGAAACGTAGACCTTTCTCTAAGAGAAAAACTGGAGCAGTGTCCTACCTCAAGACAGACTGGCACAGATGCAGTGCAGAAGAGCAGTGGCGACTGCAGCACTGGGCCTTCCCTGCACGTGGAAGTATGTATTTCCCTGTTCGATAAGAAATTGTAAACACTTTCTCAGAGAAAGTTACCAAATAATTCTGTAATTATGTTTTCTTTTTTATTTGTACAAATTTGTGATACATTGATTATATTCATCATAGGGAATTTGTACCTGTACATAATATATCTTAATTTTTTCCCTCATTTCTGACCCCTCACTTTAACTCTTCTTCCTCTCCCCATTTACAAAAGCATTGTTTCCATTTTTGTCTTCTTTCCTTCTTTCCTCTCCTCCTTTGTTCCCCTTCCTAACTGAATATACTTCCCTACTTTCCATTATCTGTTCTCCATTATGCTTCTTCGGGTTTCTCACACAAGAGAAACAATGTGATATTTAAATTTATATGTCTAGTTTATTTCACTTAACAACATTAGGATTTCAAGGGCTGGGAATATAGCGCAGTTGTGCATCACCTGCCTGGCAAGCAGGAGTTCCTGAGTTTGATTCCCAGTACATTAAAAAAAAAAAAAAAAAAAAAAAGATTATGGTCTCAAGGTACATCCATTTTCCTACAGATGCCTTAAGTTTATGCTTTTTTATGGCAGAGTAGTGTTCCATTGTATATAAAAACCACATTTTTTTGTATCCATTCTTCCATTGATGGGCATACAGACAGTTTTCAAGATTTAGCTGTTACAAATTGTGTTGCTATAAACAGGAATATGCTATATTGCTGTGATAAGATGCTTTTAACTTTCAGGAAGATACCAAGAAGGCTGCATGGAGATAGCTGGGTCAAATGGAATCTACTTTTCATTTTTTCAGAAACCTCCATACTGATTTCCATATTGGTTGTATCAGTTTACACTCCCACGAACAGTGGAGAAGGCTTCCTTTTTCCCCACAGCCTTGCCAGCATTTGTTACTGGTTAATTTCTTGATGATATCTGTCTTTCTGGAGATCCTGTTTTAATTTGCATTTGTTGAGTTAGGTATATAGCTCAGTGGCATAAGCACCTATGTGACAAGCGCGAGGTCCTAAGTTTTGTTGTGGCTTTTTTTTTTTTTTTTTTTTTGAGACAGGATTTTGCTATGCAGTTCAGGCTGACCTTGAGCTCACTTTGTAGTCCAGGCTGGTGTTGAACTCACAACGATCCTCCTGCAGCCTCCTGAGTGCTGGGATTATAGGTGTATGCCACTATGCTTAGCTCAAGGTTCTGAGTTCTTTTTCTGGTAAAACAAAAACAACAAAAACAAGGAAACAGCAACAACAACAAAAAACTGCACATAATTTGCATTTGTTGAATGACCAGTGATGTTGGACATTTCTTCATATATTTATTGTTGTTTGTAATTCTTCATCTGAGCAGGGTCTATTCAGTAATCCCATAATTACTGCCCTTAAATCCAGTAATACTAAAATCTCTAGAAGTCTTTGCATCTCTAGACTTTGTTTTAGGAACTTGAAGAAACTGTATATTGTTTTTAAAAAAGCAACTTTAACATTTTTCTAATTGTGGGAAACTCAGTTTTATTATTTTTTTCTAGTACTAGTGTCTTTATACTGAACTACATCACCAGCCCTTTTTTATTTTTTAATTAATTTTTTTTTTTTTTTTAAATTTTGAGACAGATTTGGCTAAGTTGCTAAATTGCCCAGACTGGGCTCAAACTTGCAATTTTCCTGCTTCAGCTGTCCTGAATGCTCGCACTGCAGATAAGTGCCCAATGCCTGGCTGAAAAGTTACTATTTTTAATAGCAGTTTAAAGTTATTCTTTCAGATAAAAACAGTAAGAAATTAGATTGAATTCATATGACCTTAGTATGAGCATAATACTAGAATCTTTTTTTTTTTTTTTTTTTGGCTATATCTTTTTTTTCTTTATTTTCTGTTCTGCTAATTTTAAAAATTGCTTTTGTGTCTATTCTGGTCCCGCATGCCTGTGATCCTAACACTAGGGAGGCTGAAGCAAGAGGATCACAAGTCTACACTGGGCCATGAATCAAGTTCAAGGCCTGTAATCAACCAAACAAAAAACAAAACTAAATAAAGAACACCTTTTTGTTAGAAATTGCCTCTTAAAGTTTATTCTTTTTTTTTTTTTTTGTCTTTTTCATCTTTATCGGTACCAGGGATCGAACTCACAACCGCTTGCTTGCAAGGCAGACGCTTATGCCACTGAGCTAAATCCCCAGCCCCTTAAAGTTTATTCTTTTGTAACACTTACATGAACTTTTTTCCTAACTTTTTTTCAGTAGGCAGTGCTATTTATGGTTTGGAAAAATAATATACAATATAAAAGAAAAACTTGCAGGTGGGCATGGTGGTCACACCCATAAACCCAGCACTTGGAAACTTGAGGCAGGAGGATCCTTGAGAGTTCAAGACCAGCCTGGGCTACAAAGCGCAAGGCCAGCCTGCACTGCACAGAGAGATCCTGTCTCAGAAAGAAAGAAAAAAAAAAAAAAAAAAAAAAAAAAAGACATGAATTCTGGATCTTAACTGTTGTGTGTTAAGTTGGATTTTGTTTTTGGAGAGAGGTTAGTGCTATGTATTCAGGCTGGGCTTGAAAACACTCCATGTCCTAACGTTTCCTTGAACTCGGTATCCTCCTGCCTCAGTGTCCTGAGTGCTGAGTGCAAGGTTTCCAGGCATATAGCATCGCACTTGCCCCAGATTTTACTTAAAAATTCTAAATGTTCAGAGGAAAGTATATAGAACAGTAAGCTTTGTTCGAATTGTGTGAAATGCTGATGGACTTTTCTGTATGTGCTGGTTTATTGTGACTGTTTCTCCAGAATATTGCCAGTGAAGTACAGCCAGCGGTCCATACATCTATAAAAGAAAGTATTCCTGTAAAGGAAGTGTCAGATCACTCAGGTTGTTTGAAGACTGCTTCACAGACATCTGAACTTGGTAAAACTGAAGACCAGGGGATACAACCTCCAGATGTTTCTGAGCACTTTTCAGATACTAATTTAAGGTACAAGTATATAGATCTTTGTGCTTTTTTTCCCCGCTAAGGTACTGGGGATTGCACACTCAAACCGTATCCTATCCTTTTTGATTTTTCATTTCAAGACAGGGTCTCACTAAGTTGCTCAGTTACGCAGGCTCCTGCCTCAGCCTCCTAGAATGTTGTGATTACAGGCATGCACCACTATCGGTGGGGGTTCTGTGCTTTCAAAGAGAAACCATAGAAAGTTTTATTTGCTATTGTGTCTGTTCATGGTAGCCCATCCTTGCTGTAAGGTGTATTTTTATGTTGTCCTTTTTCTTAGCTTCCTTTCCTTTAATAAGTGTGAAACTGACATCATTGGGGGAAAAAAAGTTGTACTTTTGTGTCATGTTACTTGAGTGAGATTTCAAGGCATAAGATATACAAGGTGGTGTTTGAGACTTTAAAATAGTTTCGAGAAGACAGGATTTAGATCATTCCAATTGATTGTGAAAATCACATGCAAAACACATACAAAGCTCTGTGTAATACATCTTCCTGAGTTAGTATGGGCTTGAGAGCCAGTGTTTGCTTTGTGTAGAGATGATGTGATTCTTGAGGTGGGTATCTTAACCATAGCCTCATGTTTTTCAAGGCCTATCAAATAGTTTCATTTTTTTTCCTGTTAAGAATTAGGATTGCCAGGTATAATGTCACATTCCTGTAATCCAGCACTTAAGAGGCTGAGGCAGGGGGATTGCTGTGTGTTAGAGGATAGCCTGGGCTACAGAGTGAGTCAAGGCTACCCTTGACCACACAATGATACCTTGTCTCCCAAAAAAAAAAAAAAAAAAAAAAAAATTAGGCTTAAATATTTACTGACAATCTTTAAGATTATCCTAAGACTCCATTCCTATTGCTCCTTCAGTTCATTCTAAAAGTTTGATAATCCTTGTTCCAAAAGCAAATCTCTTCCTCAAGAACATAAGCCACTTGAAGTGAAACCAGTACCTTTTGTGAGAAGTCGATTCAAAAGACCAAAGCCAAACTTAGCAAGAGCATCTTCAAGGAAAGAGACTATAGAAGCAGGGAAATATGTGCCTGAGAAGTTGGAAACAAATCAAATGGAGACCATTGTGATTCATCAGGACAGTGAACAAGCTAATCCTCTCCCTTTGCAACCTGTGAGTGGTGAAGATGTGGGCTTGGGGGCATTAGTTACTATGGTTATTAAACTTTCTGAGGGTCTTGGTATAGTTTCTGTTCCTGTGATGCTGTTCTCCTGCATGAGTGCCTTGTTGCTGCACATAGTCTATGCCAGAGGCTGCAGTGTCTGATGATGAGTAGGTGTGATGTGGGGAGGCATCAAGGAAGGCAAGATTCTGCCAGAGGCTCAGCTTTTACTTCCTTAGCCAGATAATATAGTAGTCTCTGTAGAGAGAAAATGGGAACAATAGTCCGTGTTTATCTTACCTTGCTGAGAAGATGAGCAGTTAAAAGCTTGATAGAAATTAAATTAGATGTTTCGTTTACTTTTTGTTTTGTGTTTTTGTGCCAGGGCCTCTCTGTGTAGTTCCAGTTGGCCTGGAGCTCACTATATCACCCAGGCTGACTGTGAACTCACAGAGGTTCTCCTGCTTTAGCCTCTCAAGTGCTGTTATTACAAACGTGTGCCACCACACTCAGCTTTTATTTACATTTTTAATTTAGCTCATAACAGATTAAGATTTTTGATAGGATCAAAAACTTTGAAATGAAATATCAGCACTCATAAATTGAATATTTACACACATAAAGTACATTTTAGAATTAAAATTCTTACCTGGTGTTATGCATATATCTATAATCCCAGCATTTGGGAGACTCTGGTATGACAAGAATAAGAGTTTAAGGCAGTCTTTGAGAAATTAGTACAACTCTATCTTAACAAATCAAGAAAAACAACAAGAATTAATTAATTTGTGGCATCTAAGAATTTAGTTCTTTACTATACATTAATATGTATACTTTTTCTCTTTGGCTTACATTTTGTTACTTTTTTTGTTTATGAAATTTTTAATTTGGAAAAATATTTATATATACTAAAAATAATAGCTCATATTTTCTGTGTTGAGGATTGAATATACGGTCTTGCACATGCTAGGCAAGTGCTCTGTCACTGAGCTGCCATTGTTTTTTTTTTTTTATAATATCCCATGCATCCTTTCATCCCTGGTTAATTCCATTGCAAATGAAAATATGCACCTAAGCATGTCGGTATAATTACTAGATGTAAAATTAATAAAATGTGAGGTGTTTTTATTGTTTTGCAAAAATGTCACGAGACCTTGCCTTTTGATTTTTCCACTTAACACAACATTTTACCTTCTTTGAATCAGTGCAAAGAATTTATCTTTTTATTTGGCATTTTAAAGAAATTAGAAGTTTGTTTAATCTCTTACTAATAGATTAGTCATATTTCCAAGGTATCAATAATAAACCATTTACCTTTTTTGGGAGAAGTTATTTATTTAGTCGTTATAGGGGTTTTTTTTCCTTTTGTTTGTTATCTAGGCAAACATTGTCCAGTTAGCTATGTCCTCAGCTTTGGTGGTAGAATGGGGTTGCTATAATAAATATCTTTGTGTATGTACTTTAGGCGTTATATTAGATGCTAATTTCTAGAAGTGGAATTCCTGGAATTTAAAATTTTGTTTGTTGCTGCCTACAATGACTAAATCAATTTATTCTAATAGTATATGAGAGTTTTAATTTGCCTATACTTTAACCAACTCTGGATGGAATTTTTGCTTTTTCTGCTTTTTAGGATGTGACTTTTCTAAAGGCATCAAGAGAAAAAGATAAACCAGGTTCCCAGAAGGAGGAAGCTGTGCTCTTCCAGTGTACACATCCTGAGAAGAACCCAGCACCTTCACACACTTGTGAACTCAGAGAGGATTCTCAGGCAACACACACCCAGGAAAATGACTCACCTGTCCTCATGGGGTAAACAGTGATACTTCGTTGAAAATCTGAAATAAGAAAGACATTTCTTTTAGATATTTATTTTTATTAAACTGTGTTAGTGTCTTTTAAATGAATATCAAGAATTCTTGGTTTATTTTCATACATATGGCAGATCACATGAAATAGAAAATCAGATGGAATTTGTTTAAGATTCTGTACAAACCAGTTAACTTAAAAAAATATATATTACATACATTCTTTAGAAAATTTGTAAAATTTACAGAGCATAAAATTGATCATTTTAACCATTTTTACATGTACTGCTTGGTGGCATTAAGTGTATTCATATTGTGTAGTCTTCACTATTGTCCATCTCTAAAACTTTTATTTTCACAAACTGAAACTCTTGTTGCCACTAAATGTTAGCCTTCATTACTGTTTTCTGGTAACCATTAATTTATAAATTTTGCTATTCTAGATAACACTGTAAAAGTTTATTACATTTTTAGAAATGAAATGACTTATTTCATATACTGTTTTTGTAATGAAAAAGTTATTTCCTTGAATAGTAAAACAAAATTTTCATAGTAAGAGAAGATTCAAGTTATATAATTTTGTAGTGTTGTCAATATTTTACAGTCAAGCTCTGTCTTAGTTACTTTTCTCATTGCTGAGACAAAATACCTGACAGTCAAAGTTAAACAGGCAAAGTTTTATTTAGCTTAAAGTTTGCAGAAGTTTCAGTTCATAATTGGCTTGCGTGCAAGGCAGGTGACCTGGCACCAGGCATTGCAGAGGAGAAATAGTTTATGATGAGAAGAAGGTAGCAAAGCAAGCAAGGAACCTCCATAGCTTTTCATATCCGTTATGTATTATCCAAGCTCCTTAGGGCAGGTAGCACTCACTCCCTTAATCCTAGTACCATTGGTCCTAGCATTGTACCATGAATCAGTTCCAGTGTCATATGCTCTAGATCTAGCCATCTCTGCAAAAGCCCTACCTGGACCACAGAGGCTTTGGGGGGACATCTAAACACAGCTGTAATAAACTCCCTCTCTTTCTTCCTGTCTTCTTTTCTAGGGTTCAAGAGATAAACACTTTCCAACAAGACATGAAGGAAAATGTTACTCAAGTGGTTCTCACAACAAGGGCCCGACTACAGAGGCCCAGGCCAAATGTAAGACATGCTCGACATAGGCAAGTAGTAGAAAAAGGTGAAGCCAAAGGAATGATTAAAGATGAAATGACAGTGCTACAAAAACATGAAACTGACAAGAAATTGGTGGCAGTGGTGAGTTGTGTAACTAAACTTTAATGCATAATAAAATATCAGGTGATGGTTTAAACTTGATTTAGAATAGCATAATGTGACATTTATTTTCCTCAGTGAATACATAGTTTATCTAAAATGTTTCAGACTGACTATCTTTTGTGCTGGGGATTGAACCTAAGTCCTTGAGCATGTTGGGTGAGGGTCCTACCACTGAGATACATGTTAGCTTTGTATTTTTTTCTACCTTATAGTAAGTAAAAAGTAGCTACATTTGTTGAAGATCACAGGATGGTAATAGGAACAGGGAGAAAAAAAGTGAAGGGAAAAAGGAACTTGAGGGCGAAAGGAAAAAGGGATTCATTTGTGAAAGTGAAAGATGAGGTGAGTTTTCTTTTCATGAGAAAATTACAAAACATTTTTAAAAAAATAGATTTTTGCATAATTGATTTTATAAAAATTTTCTTTTTTTTAGTGAAAAGTGATTTTGTTTTCTCCTAGTGACATCATTTGTTATGAAACATTTAATCAGTACCAAATAATATAGTAAATGACCGAAATCTCACCACCCTCAGAACTCTTTAAAACCCACTAAAAATCCTTTGCATCTTTTTTGTTTTGTGGTGGAGGGGATTGAATGCAGGTTCTACGTTTTGTTTTAGAGATTCTTGATATATAGTTCAGGCTGGCCTTAAACTGACTTTATAGCCCAGGCTGGCTTTGAACCTGCAGTTCCTTTTGCCTTAGCTTCCTCAGTGCTAAGATTATATGGGTGTGCTACCACACTCAGTATTTTTCTTTCTTTGTTTCATTCATTGATTCATTGATCCATTCATTCTGTTTTATTTCTATTTTGTTGGTTTTGGGAATTGAATCCAAGACCTTGTGTTTATGTCTAATTAGACAATTTTTGTACCCTTAGCACAGACATTTAAAATTTTGGGTTTTATAATTGTGATAATCATTGCAACTCTGTCTGAAGTCCTAGTTTGACTTTCCTAGGTGAGGTCTTTCTATTTTTAAATTTTTTTGGTGGTGGTATAGGAATTGAACCCAAGGTTTTCTCACCGGCTATGTTTTTACCTCTTTTTATTTTTCATTTTAAGCAAGATCTTGCAAGTTGTCCAGAGTAACTTTGAACTGATGATCCTCTTGTCTCAGCCTCAGGGAGTTGTGATTATAGGCTGTACCACTGCTCTTAGCACTTGTTTGAATCTTAATTTATTATTAATTTTGCTTTTTTGTTTTGAAACATGATCTTACTGTGTATTCCATCTGGGCTTGAACTCATGGTGATCATTTTCCCATGTGCTGTGATTACAGGTGTCTCCCACCTTGCCTGCTGAATTTTAATTTTAAAAAACTACCTGGGCTGGGAATATTCCTTAGTGGTAGAACACATGCCTAGCATGTGTAAGCCCTGCCCTAGATTCAGCCTTCAGCACCAGAAAACTTTTTAATGATTGGAATATTTTAGGAAGATGTTTTGCTATTTTTAAAAAATGCTAATGTAATTTTTGTCTTTTTCAGTCAAATTCTCAAATTGAAACTGAAATTGAAATTGTATCCTCCAAAGTTTCACAATGCAGTATGGATGAAAATCAGAGTCATGAGGTCCTTGCAGAAAGCCTACATGTTAACAAAAAAAAAATCTCAGGTGAAAAGATGAGGTGAGTTTTCTTTTCATGAGAAAATTACAAAACGTTTAAAAAAATACAGATTTTTGCATAATTGATTTTATAAAACCTTTACATCTTAAAAGTTTTGTGAAAGGATAATGATTAGTTACTTGTGAGTTATTTTAGGATGTGTGTGTGTGTGTGTGTGTGTGTGTGTGTGTGTGTGTGTGACAGTATCTTGTAGTTCAAGTTGGCCTTGAACTCACTATGTAGCTCAGGCTAGCCTCAGTCTCTCAGTGGTTCTCTTGTCTCAGCCTTCCCCTTACTGGGGTTACAAGTGTGGCCACCAGGGCTAATTTTTATTGGCGGGGTACTGGGGATCAAACTTATAGCCTTACACTTGCCAGGCAGGCATTTACGCTACCGAGCTAAAGCCCCGGCCCAACCAGGACTAATTTTAAATCTACTTCAGTTACAATAAAAATTGCATGCCTGGTTTATTCATTCTTATTCTGTCTGTCTTGTCTCCTCATTTCCCTCCTCTTTCTTTCTCCATTTTTCTGTTGTACTAGGGATTGAACCTTGAAGCGTGGCACTGTGCTTGTACCCCCAACCCCGTTGTTAATTTCTTATTTGAAACAGAATATCTCAAAGGTACAGGTTTGCCCAGGCTTGGAATTAAATTGTAATCTTCCGGTCTCAGCCTCTTAGGGTTCTTTTTTTTCTTTGAAACACTATCTCACCATGTAGTTCAGTCTGGCCTTGATCTCCATTCAGGATGGTCCCAAACCTGTGGCAATCTTCTTTTCTCAGCCTCCTAAGTGCTGGGATTACAGGCATGTGCCACCATGCTGGGCTCTTTTTGGATAGGTTTATTGATCCATCTGATTTACTATACTATCTTTGTAGGATACTTTCTGTTTTTCTTTTTGCAATACCAGAGGTCGAACCCATGGGTATTCTACCACTGAACTAGTCCCTAGCCCTTTTTATTTTATGTTGAGATAGGATCTTGCTTACGTTGCACAGGCTGACTAGACCTTGTGATCTGCTTAACTCAGGCCTCATTTGGGCTGGGATTACAGTTGTGTGACACCACGCTTGACTGGTTACTCCTAATTACTAAGTGTGGATTTATTTTCTGAGTATAATGTAATCCTGTAATTATATAATTGAGTAATTCTGTAATGCTACTGAAAAAGAACCTTATACATTCATTCATTCATTTCATAAACATTTGTGTTCCCTGTGTGGCAGGCCTTGTTCTAGGTGCTAGTAACATAGGGCTCAAAATCAAAAATTCGTGCCATTGTGAATGCTATATTTGAATTGAGGGAATACATTATAATTGAGAAAAATAAACTGAGTAAGTAACTAATGAATCAGAGAAAAATAACGTGATGGGGAGGCAGCACCATTGGAGGGAAAAGTGAAGAGAAGTGAAGATAAGTCCTGGGGACACTTCAGGGAGGGAACGGAGTCCCTGGGAAGCTCATGAAGCTCCGGAAGCCCTGGACCCGTGAGGAGCCACACACATGCAGATGCCAGTGGCTGGAGAGAGAGAGGAGGGGTGGGAGCGTGTGTGAGCTAGAGGCCCAGGACACAGAGGGGAGACCTTTGAGGGTCCTTGGGAGGTAGCTGGTCTTTTTTTCTCTGGAGTCAGTCTCTTCTTTTGCTCTCTCCTACAGTTGTCCTGGAGGGTTTAAATGACTCAGTCTAGGAGATTTGTGACTTTCAAGTAGCAAATTGTCATGGTATATGAGCAGTATTTCCTGAATGAAGCTATTCATGTTTCAGATTGTTATATGCTCAGCCTATGTGTTTTTTAATGAGAGATTTTTTTAAAGAGAATTCTATTAAATTTCCTGTACAGCAATTAAATTTCTACCGTTTCACTTTTTCTAGATCTTCAAGTTTATTCTGTTAGCTTTGCTGTGATTGAGAACTGTCTTGGTCTAGTTTTAAAATTAGTTTAACCTTATATCCAAAATTTGTTTTCTCTCTTTGACACTGGACCTAAGTATATGTTTTATTCTTAAATATCTTTGTGGACTTGCACTTGACTCGTACTTCAATTGAGTATAACTTGTTTTGCCAGTACATTAGCTTGCATTGGAATGTATTAGCCAGTGTCATAATTGTGTTGGAACTTGGCGTGTGCTGCGTTGGTGCTTCATACTAGTTGAGCTTAGTTGGTTGGTACATTGCAAATGTGCTAATTGCTTTCTTTTCTAGATGTTTAGTTAGAAATCTTATTAGGATTAATTCTTAATGTAGGTCTTACAGAGAACTCAAATACCCAGCTTTGTGTTATTTAAACTTCCTCATTCAGATCTTTGCCAGCTATTAGAATACTGAATTTGCAGGAAACCCTAAGATGGCTATTTGGGTTACTTTGGGAACCTTGTTAAAGCCTTGTCTTTATCTGATTTGGCAGATATAGATCAGTTATAAAACAAATTTTTCTGTGAAGTGTTTTGTTGTTGTTGTAACCCAGGGCCTGACCATTCTGGTGAGCTTTCAGGCTTTTGATAAGATATACTTTTTATCCTCAGGCCACTCTTTAGCAGAAAGATGAAGTGGTTATGACCATGGTACTTTGCCTTGTGCTGTGGAGTCTAGTTAAAGGTATTTCTTTAAAGTGCCATTATGAAATCCATTTTCAGCTACTGGCATTCAGTTTTTCAGTGAAAATTACTTAAAAGTAACATGAAACCACACATCAGGATAAATGAATGAAAGTAAAGAAAGAAGATTAATGTTATTATAAAATTATTCCCTGGACTTTCCAGAAAATGGAAGCTTTTATATTCTTCTATTCATGTCAGCAGTGCAAGGTGTCATTGTACATGTTTGGCTTTATCCTGAATTTATATAGATGTAGTCCTTTGAACTTAGAATTGATTTGTATGTAAAACAAAATTTTATTAAAGTTTGATTTTATAGCTATTACATCTACAAAGAATTCTTATATTGTTCTTCAACATGATTTGTTCTTCATTTTAGGCATGAAAATCAGCCATGTGTTTCTAGTCCAGCATACTTGATAAGAAGGAAATTCCAAAAGCCTAAGCCCGATTTGGGAAGAGCCCGCAGTAGAAAAGTAGAAGAAGCAGGTATAGACAAAGGCCCAGCAGATCAGAGTGTAACAAGTAAACCAGAAAATAATTCAGTGCACCCAGGAAATCCTGACACCCAGCTCCATCTAAAAGTAAGTTTGGAAATGTTTTTATGGTTAGAGAGCTCTGTTTTGTTAGGATCATAAAGAGAATAAAAAAAAAATTACTAAAATAAGTATTTTACATATGGGACATTACTAAAATATAGGAAAATATTATAACTTTTCATGGAAAATTTAGTCCTTTTTTTTGTTATTCTGGAGATTGAACCCAGGACATCTGAAATGCAGAATAAATGCTGTGCTGCTGGGCTACAGTCTCAGCCTGATTCTCATGACTGAGAATCATCACTTACATATATATGAAAACACACGAGATTTAGGCCAAACTGCTAAACCACATTATCACAGAGATTATTTTTATGGTAACATTAGCTGTTTCATTTTATATTTAAGGAAGAAGCTGAAATTGTGACATCTGCAGAAGTTTCAGCAAAAGATTATAAAGGTTCAGAAGAGTCCATTTTGGCCGAAAAAGATGCTCAATTAGAAGTTGCTGGACCATCAGAAAGTATTAGAGAGGAAACTATACAAGATAACTCTGTGTCTTCAATCGTTGAAGAACAATATTTCAATAAACTAACAAGGTAACATTTTATTTGCCAAATACCAAGAATAGGAAATAAAAACCACTGATTCTTTTTTTTTTTTTTTTTTGTACCGGAGAATGAGCTCATGACCTCACAGTTGCCAGGCAGGCACTTAAAAATCATTTATTTTCATGTCCTACCTAACATGCTGATCAAAAAGATGATTTGTGAATATAAGTGGAGATTTTTAACGTGTTTCTTTTTTAATTTTTCTGTTTATTTGCAGCAGTTTACTCTTTTCCTTGTCTTCTTTGTAAGATTTTTCTTTTCCAGGTAGAAAATTTCTGGGTGTTGAGTCTATTAGAAGTGAGCAACAACCTGACCAAAGATTAGTATGCATTACCTATGTAGAGTGCTAGTTTGAATGGGATTACAAACACAAACGATGCCCGGCATCCATACTTTTCAAAGAAAGTGGGAAGGAATCCGAGCTCTAAAAACCATTGTGGCCTGGGGGTGTTTGCTTAATATGTATAAAGCCTCGGTTTGATTGTTAGCACCACAAAACAACAAAGGTAAAACAACCCACCAGCATTGATCTAATTTTCTATTTCTCCCTTTGTCTTTTTTTTTTTTTGGTGGTACTGAGGATCGAACTCACAACCTTGCACTTGCCAGGAAGGCACTTATCCCGCTAACCTAAATCTGCAGCCCCTGTTTTTCCCTTTTTCTTTTTACCCAATCCCTTTTTCTTCTAATAATTTCCAGGTTTTTTTTTTTTTTTTTTTGTCTTTTTCCTTTTTATCGGTACCAGGGATCGAACTCACGACTGCCTGCTTACAAGGCAGGTGCTTATGCCGCTGAGCTAAACCCCCAGCCCCATAATTTCCAGTTTTGCATTTATCTTATCTCTACCATATTATGGGAGAAAACAGCCCAGAATTAAAAATGTACTCTGAAAACTCTGTAGAAAATTAAGAATTAATTCTGAGTGACAAACTTAAGCACTAAGCATAATTCCTTCCGTATTTTCACAACCTATGTTTTTTTAAAAGAATGGGTGGTAAGAGTATTCATTTTAATGACTGAAACTAAGATTTCACTGTAATAGTTTGATTTTTGTTAAAATTCTCATGGTGCATATGTAACTATATTGTTATTTTGATTAAATATCCAGCAGTCCACAACTGTTGAAAGAATCAAATTACTCTAGAACTGCTCTAGATGGAAGATCAGTGAACTCTGCTTCTCGGAGTGAGGTAGATCATGGAGAAAGGAAAATGCAGAGGAAAGTCAAAGCCAGTGTCACCAAAGGGCGTGGAACCAAGCGAGCACGTGTTAAGACCTCCAGGAAGGAGCCGCGGGCTCCCAAGGCCATGCTAGTGACTCTTCGGGCTTCCCAGGAAGAGGATGATGACGATGCTCAGGATTTTGAATCTGACTATGAAGAAGAGAACTGCCATCTTGCCCCAGAGGAAGTAAACAAAGCACCAGTGTTTGTCCCTCTTGGTCTCAGATCCCCTGAACCTGTTTCTGCTCAGGTTGAGGAAACAATGGAAGAGGTAGTTGGTTTTCGTTAAATACTTGGCACTTTCTTGTGCTTGGTTTTTTCTTCCTTTTTTAAAGTGGACCATCATTTTTTCTCTTTGTGATTATTAGAATTTGAAGAGTTCATTCTCTAGTGATCGCTACAAACCTTAAATTGTCTGGGGCTTCACTTAAGAATGAGCATAAATAGGTCTGTGATTAGTATTAGCCAGTACTTATAGCCCAGGTTCATCAAGAGCATCAAAATAAAAATAATGACAGAAATAGGCTAACACTTCATCTGGAAGATACTTAATCTACTCCTTTCATTCTTTCCTCTCAATATTGGGGATTGAACCTAGGGCCTTCACAATGGGCTACATCTCCACCTCTTTTTGGATTTTAGACAGCGTATCCCTAATTTGCTAAGTTGCCCAATTTAGACTCAAACTTACAATATACTCCTGCTTCGTCTCCTAAATGCAGTCATTATAGGCATCTGCCACAATACCTGGGGGCCTATTAGACATTTGCAAACATTTTCAAATCTGAGGAAACACAAAACACCTAAAGTTTTTCTATAATAGCGTATTTTTTTTTTTAAGGTGCGAGCGTTTATCCAGGACTTTGCACATACTAGGCAAGTACTTTGTCAGTGAGCTATATCCCCAGCTCTTATAATAATAATAATCTTTAGATTTATAATCTTTTCAGACTTGATTTACTACTCATAGTTTTTACTGAATTGGGCAACCTTTTTTTTTAAACTCATCTTTCTGTTAATAAAGGAATAAGAGCTATACTTTATTGTGTATATTTTAAGACTTAAGTCAGTATATTTTTAGTTCCTTGAATATAGGGTCTTTTGACTTGTAGGGCTGTCAAATGAAGAGTATGAGTGAATGTGTTTCCGTGGGTATCAGGAAACATGTATAATCAGGCATGGCAGAGCATACCTTTAGTCTCAGCACTGCAAGTTCAGTGTCAGCCTGGGCTCCACAGTGAGTTCAAGACCAGTTAGAACTACATAGAAAGACCTTGTCTCAAAAAAGAAAAAAAACTTTTTTTTTTTTTTTTGGCAGTGGGGTGATAGGACAATTCCCCCGCCCAGTACTGGGAATTTAACCTAGGGCCTTCCTCAGCCCTCGTTTTTACTTTTGTTTTGAGACAAGCTCTCACCAAATTGCCCATGCTGGCCTTGAACTTCTGATCTTCCTTGCTCAGCCTTACTACAGTGCTAGTATTCCAGGTATGTGCCGTCATGCTCAATTGTGATGAAATCTTTTTGGGTACTTTAACTCATCTTGTTACACCATTTAGTACAGTGGATAGTTTGGCTAGTATGTGTATTTCTTTTATATTGTAATTTCATGGAGGCCAGGATCCAAGCAGGTCTTACTTGACTTTGTGTCCTTATATCCATATTCTTCTTCTTTGTAGGGAGCACTTTGTAAATGACAACAGAAGGAAGAAGTAAATTAGAGCAAAATGGGGACAAAATGAGGAAAATGAGAAATGAAATGCCAGGCCCAGAGAAAATTAACCTTAGAAAGTTGGATTAGTGATTGTAATAGGTGCAGACCTCTTAAAAACTAAATGTTTTACTTTTGCTAATGTGCTATAACTGGAAGTGCTGTATTTCAGTGCTCTGATTTTGCACAAATGCGGATTATTTCTCACATTTAACATCTCATTATACTGAATGTGGAAAATGAGGTTTTGTTTTACTATTTGTAGAATTGCAAAAAGGAAACGATAAAATTTTATTTTGACAGCTTGAAATAACGGTGAATGTTGCAGATGTCGGATGTGTAACTGTTGTTGAACATCAGCTCTCAAATGCAGATGTGACTATTCAGAAACTAGAGCAAGAATGTAACTTGAATATGCCATTTGTGAGTATCCATTGTAATTTTTTATTCTTTTAAAAGACTCCAGGGTTATTTTGATGCTTTTAGTTGACAGTTTTTAACTAATTCCTCTTATGTGGGATATGTTCCTATGAATACACAAATGGTACATTTTAGTTTGACTTGAAAGCATTGGGGGTGTGTGTGTGTGTGTGTGTGTGTGTGGTGTGTGTGTGCTTAGAGTTTTTACCATCCCCATAGACTTTTACACCAGAATTATATGATGAATATGACTTAAAATATATTTAGTTTCATTGTTTGATGCTCTTTCATATTTGATATGAAGACAGAATCATAAGTTTTTACAAACACCTCTATTGAAGTACAATTTAGACACAATATAATTTATGCATTTAAAGTGTGAAGATGAAGATTTTTTTTTTTTTTTTTTTTTTTTTTTTTGTCTTTTTCATTTTTATCGGTACCAGGGACCGAACTCACGACTGCCTGCTTGCAAGGCAGGAGCTTATGCCACTGAGCTAAATCCCCAGCCCCGAAGATGAAGATTTTTTAGTATATGTAGAGTTTTTCAAGCATTACTAGTTAAGTTTGGAGCACTGTCTCAAAAATTCCTAACATGGTGGTGCACCTTAGCACCAGCTGCTTAGAAGGCTGAAGCATGAAAATGACAAATTTGAGTCTATTCTGGGCAGTTTACCAAGACTGTCTCTTCAAAGTTAAAGACATACAGGAAAAGGCCTGGGAATGTGGCTTAGTTCATTTCCCAATACTGCAAAAGAAAGAGCGAAACTCCACAAACATTTTCAGTCGCTCCATGTTCCGCTTTGAGATTTCCCCAGGCCAAGGGAAGCAGTTACCTACTTTTGTCTAGATTTGCTTATGTTGGACATTTCATTGAAATGGAGTAATAAAATACAGTATTTTGTGTCTGACTTATTAATGTCTTCAGTGTTTATTGATATTTAGCGTGTTTCAGTATTTTATTACTTTTGGAGCCAAATTATTTGCTACATTCTATTCAGTCATCTACTCATGGACATTTGGGTTGTTTTCTATTTTGGTCTGTTATAAATACTGATGTGCAACCCTTTGAGAGAGTACAAGTTTTCAGTACTCTTGGATACATTCCTAAGAGTGTAATCGCTAGGTTATGTGGCAAGGTTAGTTGTTTTAGAAACTGCCAAACTGTTTTCTAGACCAGCTCAACCATTTTACAATCTCAGCAGTGTGCGAAGGTTCTTATATCTCCATGTTTGCCAGTACTTTTTATGTGATATTTTGGCTCTAGCTATCTGTTCAATTTGGGATGAAGGCATGTCTCATTATGGTTTTGATTTACGTTTCCTTGATGATTAATGATGTTGTATTCTTTCGTGTGCTTATTGGGCATGATTTTTGGAGAAATGTTCATTCAGATGTTTGCTTATTATTTATTTGGGCCATTTTGTCTCTTTATTAAGTTGTAAGAATTCTTTATATTGTCTAGATACAAATCCCTTATCAAGTACAGATACTGTATTTTCTTCCATTCTTTGGGTTATCTTTTTGTTGGTTTCCTTTAAATCACAAACATTGTTAATTTTGATAATGGTCAACTTTACTCAGTTTTTCTTCAGTTGCCTTTTTTTTTTTTTTTTGGAGATGGTCTTGCTATTAACTTTAGGCTGCCCCTGAACTTACTATGTAGCCCAGGCTGTCCTCAAACTCAGGGTAATCCTCTGCCTCAGCCTCTTATATGGAATTACATGCATGTGCCATCCAAGTGTTTTTTTTTTTTTTTAGTATTATCTAAAACTTCTTTGCTATATCCAGGATTCTAAAGTTTTTCTTTAAGAGGTTTGTATTTTTTCTCTTTGATCTACTTGAGGCTTTCATTTTTGTTTGTTTGTTTGGGGTACTGGGAATTGAACTTAGGACCTCACACTTGTCAGGTATTGTTTTTTTTTAGACAGGGTCTCGCTGTAGTTCAGGTTGGCCTTAAACTCACTAGCCCAGGGTCTTGAATTCATAGTGGTCCTCCTGACTAAGCTTCTTGAATGCTGGGAATACAAGTGGGCACTATCACTCCTGGATGGAGTTAATTTTTTCTATGTCGCATAACCTCTTTCTCCAATTTCATATTGGTGATATTGGGACTGAACCCAAGGCCTTTACACTGATCTATAGCTGTAGCCCCTTTATTTTTTGAAACAGGGTTTTTCTAGTTGCCCTGGCAAGATTCAAACTTTTGATTCTCTTTGTCTCAGCCTTAGTACTGGGATTCCAGACCATGCTATGGTAAACTTTATTTGAAAAGATTTTATAAATGGCATTGGCACTCTTTAAAAGTCAGTTGACTATGGATGTATGAATTGATTTCTGAGTTGTTTTGTTTCATTGATCTATATGTCTGCCTTTTTACTGGTGATGATGTATTGGTTATTGTTGTATTGCTAAGTTTTAGGGTTGGGAAATTTGATTTCTCCTTTCTTTTTGGCCAGATTATTTTGGCTAAGTAGGTAATTTTTAATTTGGTACGAATTTTAAAGTCAGTTTGTCAGTGTCTCCAAAGAAATCAGCAGGAATTCTAATTATGATTGTATTGCCTCTGTAGATTGGTTTTGGAGGGTACTGCAACCTCCTATCAGTGTTGAGACTTATAATCAAAAGTCTCTGGTTTGTGATTCCTATAAGACTTCTCTGTTAGTACCACTGCATTGGAATGAAGCCATCACAACTTTCATTAACGTGAAGGCATCTGGCATCTTTCATCTGGGATTATAGATTTCTGCAAGTCACAAATGGACTCATTCTTACCACCTCCCTTTAGTACTGGGAATTGAACCCAGGGCCTTTTCACTCACACCGCTAACCTGTGTTAAAAATTTTTTAAATTTTGAGACGAGTTCTTGCTAAGTTATTTAGTTGCCCAGGCTGGGTTCAAACTTGTGATCTTCCTGCCTCAGGACCTCAGTTCGGGGATTACAGACATGTGTGCCAGACCTGGCATCGGTTGTTTTCTTAGTTTCATTTTTGAATTCCTTCTTGGAAGTGTATAGAAATATAACTGATTCTCGTGTGTTAGTTTTGGATCCTGCAATTTTGCTGACTCATTACTTCTAAGAGTTTTTCAGTGTATTCCTTAATGTATTCTATATATTTAGTATTTTTATATCATCTCTAAATAGAGATAAGTTTACTCCTTTCGTTACCAGTTTATCAGTTACCAGATGTAACAAAATACCACAGACTGGATATCTGAAAACCACAGAAATACATGCTCTTCTAGTTCTGGAGTCTACAAGTACAAAACCACATGTGATACAGCGCTGGTTTTTTCTGGAGACTAAGGGGGAGAAGAAGCCTTCTAGCTTTGCTGGGGTTGCCTATCATCTTTCCTTAAGGCACTACAGTCCCAACCTATCCTTATTGCCACTTGGTGTTTTCCCTGTGTTACACCTTTGTTTTTCCTTTCAAGGACACTAGCCATATTGGACCAGGGATAACGCTAATCAAGTATTGGGGCAGGAGAAAGAAATAACGATAAGTGAAAGGGAGATAAGGAAATCCATGATTTTAAAATTGTATTTTAAAAACATTGCAGTTTAAGGTAGGTGTCGTGGCACATGTTTGTAATCCTAGTACTCAGGGATGCTGATGCAGGGAGTTTGAAAGTTTGAGCCCAGCCTGAGCGACTTAGCAGTTTAGCAAAACTCTATTTTAGAATTCAAAAAAGGGGCTGGGGACATGGCTCAATACAAAGGTGCTGGGCTCAATTGCAGTGTTTCTATGGTAGATGACAAATATGAAGCATTCAGTGAATATTAATTGAATATTCACTGGAGAAGGCCATGATCTGAGGTTTTGTGTTTTGCCAGGGCTTTTTTCTTTCACGTCTTCTCTCCTGTGTTTTATTACATACTAAACAGATTAATGAGTTATATAGGTTAATGAGTTTCATTTTTTTCAGGCTTGTACATACATATAACATGCTCTAATCATTACCCTGCATCAGTTTACTAAATATCAGGTTAAAGCTGCCTAGTAGTGTAAAAAAATTTGGATTTTTTTTTTAGATTTGTTTTCATTGGATAAACACTGGCAGCAGGTTTGACTATGGTAAGAAGGATTATGAATGTAGAGAAGTAACGAGAGTTGAATGTATGTACATATGACTAGAATTATACTTTGCATATAAGAAAAAGCAGAGATGAAGTTACTTCTTTGCTTGTTTCTGAAATTTTATGAATTAAATAGGCTTTATTATTGCTAACTAAAATATATAGAAAGTGTGGTAAAATGTAGTACTTTTTGAGAAAGGGACTGTGTTTAGGGAAATTATTTAACACATTACTTATCTTTTCCTCTTTTAGGAAATGACCACAGGTGAACACACCCAGGATGAAGCAGGTAACTTTTTACATGGAAGCTACTAAAACTGCTTGGTTAGCACTAGCACAGTGCTTTAGCAGTGAATTAGTTTGGACATGAATCAGTTTGCTGGAGTGTTGGATCCAAGGATTCAGCTATTGAGTAAATAATCCCTGTGTTAAACTTGGTACGTTAGGTACCTTCCCACTAGGGATAAAAGATCTGACATGTGTAACTGATAGGAGGAAGGATTTATGGAGGAAGAGACTTCAGTCCAGGATGGGCTGACTCCAAAGCAGGGTCATCATGGTGGAGGGGTCTGGCAGAGGGAAAGTGGAGAGCTGGAGAGGGAGAGCGGTTGGGAACAAAATACACCCTTTCAGATCCTCCTCCTCCAGCCAGGGCCACTGCCTATCAGCACTCAGCAATGAGCTCATCAGTGGGTACCTCTATGAAGGAATACAGCATCCAATGATTTGCTCACCTTCCAAAAGCTCCAGCTGTGAAGATAGAAACCCTTTGGGGGACATTTTAGACAAAACCATTGCACTTGATGTGAAGGTGAGCCAAGTTAAATGTATTTTTTAAAACATTTCATAAGTGTTTTTAGCAGGTGAAAGCCAAGAATTGATGATTTTTTAATTGGTAGTATATAAGCTGAACAAAACACCACATTTGTAAGGGAACAGTGTACAGAGAATGGTGAAACCAATGCTAGAAAAAAAGCCACCTGAGTTCAGAGTCTGTTTTAAGTAAACTCATTTTCATACTCCTTCATCTGTTTCAATGCTTCTGTGTTTCTTCACAAGGTCCCAGTGATGGAAGCACGGAGGCAGCCATAACCTTACTCACCATGGGAGAACTGGTACTGCAGTCGGAGATGAGCACGGAGCAGAATGATGGTAAGAATGGAAGACAAGGCTGCCAAAGTGAAACCTAGAGTGTAACTGTTAAAAAATCATTTCTACACTTTGAGTTGTAAGCCGTATTTTTTTTTGGTACTAGAGATCGAACTCACAACCTCACACTTGTCAGGCAGGTGCTTATACCGCTGAGCTAAATTCCCAACCCACATAAGCCTTTTATATTTGAAATTATCATCACTGTTTTTTGTAATCCTAAATATTGAGTTTAGTTGGGTGACAAATATTATAATCCCAAATATTGAGTTTAGCCATCGAAGTATTGTAACCCTCTTTCTAGTTTTCCTCACAATCCCAAAAGTTGTATTTGTAATCCCATTGAGATGTTATTGGAATCCCAGCAAGTTAATTCCAGTCTACCACCACCAATGCAACCCACAGTGAGAATAAACACACCAAGACATATTCCAAGTTAAGGGCAGCCGAGGGGTCCTAAGTCCAATCCTTATGAGGACATGCACACAAAGGCCTTGATCCTAGGCCTCTTCCAGAATTTATTATCTTGTGAAGAAGGGGGGTGGCTCAGGAGTTAGTGACAGTGAGGATGGTGGGAATTATGTGAGTAACTTGAGCTGGCTAGCCAAGTGCAAGAATGGATCTCTGTAAATTGCAGAGATAAAGATATGCAGAAGGATCAATTTATATAATCTAATTAAGGTAGCAATGAAATTGTTTTGGGAGGCTGTTGCTTTAGTTTCTGATATGCAAACTCTTATGCCCTGGGGAGTCATACATAGCCTCTTTACCTTGAGGCTCATACCCAGTTGACATTCCTATTGGCTCTAACTTCTCTCATGCTCATACCCTGTACATACCATGTACAGAGAACACTGTGCAAGGGAACAGGACTGTCTGTTGGTTTTAGAGATTACATACTAACACATTGGCTAGCCTTATTTGTAATGCTTAGAGCCAATTAAAGAGAAAAAAATTACACTAGCCAGCTTTTTACATATCGGTATAAGGAAATGAGTCTCCAAATAAAGTCACAGTAATAGTTTTGCATTCAAAGTGAGTCACTGGAGTTGTCTCCTACAACTGTTGTTTTTCTAGAAGACGTAATATTTGTGCATGATTCACTCATTATTTTAGCCCTGTTAGATGTACCCGCAACCAGGGGCTGGGGATTTAGCTCAGCGGCATAAGTACCTGCCATGGAAGCAGGCAGTCATGAGTTCGATCCCTGGTACCGATAAGAATGAAAAAAAGACAAAAAAAAAAAAAAAAAAATTCCCATAGATGTAGCTGCAACCATTTTGAGATAGTAAACATGGTTTATTAAGAACAATTTATATTTATGGAATAGTTGATCGAGCGACTTTCCTACTTTATCATAAACATCAGTGGTTAATTGATCATTGATCATTTTATGTGTGTGTTTAGCAAAGGAGTTGCTGCTGTTTGAAATAGTCTTGAGATTAGATGGCAGATACTCTATGAGAGACTATTAGAGGCCATTGAATAAGTGTCCTATTTTGATAGTGAGGACACAGCCAAAAAAGATGTGGCTGCCTGGACTTTTAATATATTTGACTGAGTTAGAAGCTGTGATTCTTATTGTTAACTACATTAGTTGAGTAATGCTAGTTGTACAGTTGACTGGTAATAACTGACCTGTCATTCTATCATCATTTTAGTTGTTAGAGCTTTATTTTTGGCACAGTGCTAAGGATTGAACCCAGGACCTCATCCTCACACATGCTAGGCAGGTGTCCTGCCCATCTCAGCCACATGCCCAGCCTTCATTGATAAAGACTTTTAAACTCGTGACCATGCATATCAAGAAGGTCTCTGATTTGCATTGTGTAGTTGCTGCTTTCTTAGTGTTTATCAGAGTGAAGGCCATCGTAGATCTCTAGAAAATAAAGTGCAAGTTTTAAAAATTAGTAATTGGAGGCAGGCCTATCTTGAAATCTAGAGTTAAGTAGTTAGTTTCTGTAAATAACAAAGGGACTTATTTTTGCTTTTTATGTTTCTTCTTTTGGTATGGGGAAAGAAACCCAGGGCCTTTGTCCTGATCTACATCTCCTGCCATTTTGTTTGTTTGTTTGTTTGTTTTGTATTTTGAAACAGGGTCTTGCTAAATTGCTCAGGCTGGACTTGAACTTGCCTCAGTTTCCCAGAATGCTGAGATTACAAGGCATGTTCCATTATGCTCAGCTTAATTTTTACTTATGATAGAATGATGTTTTAGTCTTAAAAATCAAGCTCATTACAGGCCAACTTCAAGACATGAAATATGAATTCATAAATAGTAGTAAACTTTGCAGCCAAAAAAGGAACATACAGGATGTTACATTTATTGAATGTTGAAGAATGCATTTTATTTGGATTTCTATTCATATTGCCTCAATTTTAATTTCCTATTTTTTTTGCAGTAGGAGTATGTATATTTCCTGATGATCATTCAAAGGATAAAAGTCATATTTGTTTTAGCCCAGATAATTTAAGTCATAAAATTGTTCATGAATGTCAGGAGCTTTCTTCATCTGTCATTAATACATCTGCATCTGAAGAAAAGGAGAGTGTATCAGAGGAACAGAATACTAAAGAAGAAGTTGATTTAAAGGAGAAAGCAGTGGAGAGCACATCAACCAGGTTTTATTTTATGTATTCATGCATTTAGTTTATTTTTTAAACCAGGTTTTAGTATTCAATTAATATACTTAAGTCCCATCTCTTTAGTCTGTAAATTTGACTATTTTTAATGTTAGTTTAAAATTGGCAAAGCAGACTTCTTACATATTAAATTAAGGATTTAGATCATAATGGATTAATGATTTGCCTATTAAAGTTATACAGTGGTACCTTGGTTCATGAATTTGATTCTTCCATGATTCTGGTTTCAACCTGAGTTGGACGATAACTGGATCAAATTCAGTGGTTAGGTTCAGTTTTGACCTTAAGGGGAAATTTGATTTTGTTCTTGTCCAGTTTGGTTTGTGACCAGAATCTTGGAGAGAATTATGTGAGCTGAGGTACCATTGTACACTGTTTTTGTAAGTCTTTGAAGCTTTAATAAAATCGATTTATATAAATGTACTGTTTCATAAATATGGTCTAGAATTTCAAGAAGTATTTTACTAAAAGTATTAGTTACTTTAATTTATTTTTTGATAACCAAGAGTACAACTTACAACCTCATGCTTGCCAGGCAGGCACTGTGTCATTGAGCTGTATCCTCAGCCCTAGTGGTTATTTTATTTTTGAAAAAGTTTTTTATATTAGTTTATTTTAGTATTAAGCAGTACTTAACTGAGCATGGTGGTGCATGCAGGGATGCTAGAGCAGGAGAACCCAGCTTCGGCAGTTTAGTGGTTTAGTGATCCTCTGTCTCAAAATAAAAAATAAAAGCACTGGTGATATAGCTTAGTGTAGTGGCGTTGGGTTTAGTCTCCAGTACTGAGGGAAAAACAAAGTAAACTAAAACTCCTTGGGGCTGGTTGTGTAGCTAAGTGGCAAAGAAATGAACATGAATGTGGCCCATGATTGGTAGCCCAGGGATAGACTGAATGTGTCAATGTTAGAAAGAGAGAATTTTTGCTTATCTCTAAATTTCTCTTATTTCTTCACTTCTAGGAGTATAGCTTCTAAAGTGGAGAGTGATTTGCAAATAAAAAGTACATTCACCAGGCCTGAGCTGAATCTTGACGCTTTAGTGACCAGCAGGGTTGATGCTCTTCAGGAAGTTTCTAGTTTATCTGAAAGGGAAGAAGGGGAAAGTCAAAAAGGTAAACTTTGTTGATCTCTTAGAAATTATAAAATTACTTTGGCACATGAAATTGTCTTGCCATTTCAAAGGAGCATTTAGTTGTTAAAATTATTTTTAATTTTAGAAAGTTTGAGATACACAAAAGTGTAAAATAAGCTGTAAAATAAGTTTTCATAAATCCAACGATTTCAGTGATTGGAGTGTTTGCTATATTTGCTATATTTTAATGTGTATATGCTGGTATGTGTATATACTTGAATACTCAAGCACATCTCTTAGAAAAGTGTGTGTATGCAATACCTGTGGAAACAGTAGGTTAGTTCCCAAAAGATAGGAAATTACAAACTCCTTTTACTTGTCCTAGCCACCCTTGTCTCCTCTCACTTATTGTCAGAAACCACTATTAATGGTCTTTTGTTGTTTTGTTATTATCTGAGGATTAAAATTAGGGCCTCTGCATTCAGTCATGTATTTCTAGCCCTTTTTATTTTTATTGTATATTTCCCAAAACATTTTATGTATGTGTAAACATCTAAATGATGGTGTGTATGTACATACACCACACACACACCCACATTTATATAAACACGTTTATACATGTATGTTTCCTTTAGGAAGAACAAGTAGATGTATACACTGTAGTGTACATATGTTCAGTATCAGCTTCATAATTGCACAGCCTGGTAACCATAATTCATGGTAATACATTGTACAGTATTCTTTAAATGTAAAAAGAAGAGATATTATGTGCTCTTATCATAAAAATGCTAACTCTTGAGTTAATGCATTTGTTAATTTAGCTAGATGTAGTTATTCTGTAGTGCGTGTACAGTCATACTTTGGTACTGCTGTGAAACTCATGGAATTGGGGTGCATTTTAATGTGATGTTTTTTGCCCTGGCACTTAGTGCTTGTTTGGTACTTGCTGCAGAAGCAGGAACCTGTTAGAGTCCCTTTTCTCATACATTTTACCCTTTCCAGCCAACATAAGTTGTTTGGTATTCGTTGTTTTTGGTGCTCATCATGCCTCCCAGAATCAATGAATAAAATGTGCATAGCTGGCAGTGGTGGTGTACATCTGTAATTTCAGCATTAGAGAGGCTGAGATGGGAAGATGACTGTGAGTTTGAGGCCAGCCTGAGAGTTTAAGAATAGCCTGGCTTACAGAGAAAGACCCAGTCTCAAAAAAACAAAATAAAAACAAAAATGCCAAGGTACTACTATGTAGTTCAAAACATGTTGTACACAATGAAGATACACGTTTTATGTTAGGCATGATACACACCTGTAACCTCAGGACTCTGGGAGCCTGAGGTCAGAGGAATCCAACTTTGAGCCCATCCCAGGCAACTTGATGACTTGGCGAGACCCTCCTCAAAATAAAAATAGAGGAGGTTGGGAATGTAGCCCTGTTCAGTGTGAAGGCCCTGTTTTCAGTTCTCTGTACTGCCCTATTCTCAATGCAGATTATCTGCTTGCCTGCCTGCCTATCTATCTATCTGTCTATCTACCAGATTTATTGTACAGTCCACATACATCTAATCCATCCATTTAGGGAGTGTAGTTCAGTAGTGGTTATTGTTTCAACTCGTGTTGCCATCCCATTATCACTCTGTTTTCTTTTAACCCTAAGCAATCACTGACTCACTGTCCATAGAGGTGTTAGGGTGAACGTTTTAAGTACGTAGAATGCTACAACATACCTTGAGCTTGTCTTTTCCTACTTAGCATAATGCTTTAATGGTTCATCCTAAAACATGTCCCAGATACTTTGTTTTATTGTCAAGTATTCCATTTTGGTTATATTTTTATACTAGTGAGCACATTGGAGATGTTTTTAACTGTTGCTATAGTGAATAATGTTGTTCAGAACATTCATGTAAGTTGTTATACGATGGTGCATGCCTCTACCCCTCAGCACTTGGAGGTTGAGGCAGGAGATTTTTTGAGTGCATCTGGGAAATGTAGCATCATATCAAGACCCTGTCTTAAAAAAAAGGGATGAGGATGTAGCTCAGTGTGAAGGCCCTAGGTTTAAGATCCACCCCCTTATATAATGTTTATGTATACATTTTTGTGTGGCATATGTTTTCATTTCTCTGGAACTTATACCTACAGGTTGAATTGCTTGGTCATATGGCAGTTTTAACCTTCTTTTGTGGGAGTGTTTTGCATCAACCCATTGCCTCGAGCAGGCTAAGTGCTCTGCCACAGAGCTACATTGCGTATCTTATCGAGGGGCTGTTAAATGTTTTAAATCTGACTTCCACAAAACAAACGTCTCTTTTGTTTTTATGTGCCAAACAGAATATTTTAAAAAGAAATGTTAGGAGATCACAAGGTTAGGTTGTATCTGAAAGCCTAGCAAGACTCTGCTACAAGAATGGGGAAGAGAGAAGAAAGGAGAAAAGGAGAGAAATGGGAGAGGCAGAGTAGCCACTGCTAAGTGCCCCTGGGTCTCATCCCCCACTAACACAATAAAGGAATATTGGGCTCTATTTTATGTTTTTACTAGCAATCTTGAGTTTCAGTTTCTCTAAAACTTTGCAGATATTTTTTTTTTCTTTTTCCTTACCTTTTCCTTTAGAGCTGTCTTGGTGTAAAGGTGAATTTCACTGTTGTGAAACTTTTTTCTTTGGTACCAGGGATACCTGGTACCAAACTCGTGACCTAGTGCTTGCCAGGCATGTGCTTACTCTGGCTGTGCTAAATCCCTGACCCCTGTGATGGAACTTTTTCTTTTACTGTTCATATCTGTGGTACTACAGATCAAACCCAAGAGTATCCATCCTATCATTGAGCTACATCCCAGGTGCCTGCTCTTTTTGTTTACTTTTTATTTTGAAACAGATTCTCACTAAATTGCTCAGCCTGGCCTCCAATTACTGATCCTCCTGCCTCAGCTTCCCGAGTAGCTGGGATTATAGGTGTGTATCACTGTGCCCAGGTCATTGTGGTTTTGATTTGTATTCTTTAAAGTATATCTTGTCATATGCTCATTTCTGCATCTTCTTTAGAAAAATATCTCTTGAATTGATGCTCATTTGTACATCTTCTTTAGAAAAATATCTTTTTGTTTTAATTGATTCATCTTTTTATTGAGATTGATGTTTTATGGTTAGGAATATAGTTCAGGGTCCTGGATTTAGTCCTCAGCACCAGAAAAAAAAACAAATCATAATGCTTTAGCACCTTCAGTTGTTTTTTTTTTTAAGATAGGGTTTTGCTATGTAGTTCAGGCTGGCCTTGAACTCATTTTTTGCCCAGGTTGGCCTTGGCTTGCAGTGGCCCTCCTACCTCAGCCTCTCAAGTGCTAAGATTACAGAAGTGTGCCACCACACCTGGCCATTCGTGTTTTGTTTTTGTTTTTATCTTGTAGTGTTTGGCATTGAATCCAGGGTGCTCAATCATACAAAGCAAGTACTCAACCAAGGGACCACATCTCAAACCAGACCTTCTCTGTGGCACTTGCTATCATTTTTAAAAATGACCTGCCTATATAGTTACATAAATCTCTTTAGTCCTGCATTCTTTTCCACTCTGCCTTCCTGCCGAGAGCCCTATGGTAATAGTAAGGGCAGGGAAAGCTATGCAGACAGCATGCTGTCAGCATGAATTACACCCATGCTTATATCAGCATAGTGAGCATCAGCATTCCCATTTTGCCTGTCCTGGTTTCTAGGATCCCTTTCATCCAGCAGTGACTGTGGTACTGTATGCAGATACTGCATGTTGATTATTGTTGTCCCTTGAACAGCATCAGGAAGCTCTTGTCTGAAGGTTCAACTTCTTTATAAAAAATCTTTCCTTCCCCTTTGTGATGTTATTGTTTGGTTTACAGCTCCTTTCCCAAAACCTTTGTGTATTTACCTCTAATGTTCTTGTAGATGTGAATTTTTATTATTACTACTATTACCACAAAGTAGGGGTATAGTTGCTAGAGAAGCCAGAACTGAAATATGTTGTGTGCACAATTCATTAGTCATCTGTTTCACTGTTGGAATATCTCAGTGTCGAGAGTTACAGTCTGTTGTGAATACATTGGGTTTTGGATTTAGGGAAGTTTGGAGGCGTCATTGCATTGCTGTCTGTTGTAAGAGGGAATGTGTTTCTTTTTTGGAATGTGTTTGTAATACGGAGATTTTAGTGGTATTATTTTTAAATACATCTTAAGTATGTTTTTTATTTAAGAAACTGAGAACAGTGCTTCCAAAGCAATAGAAGTGGAATGTAAGACCCCTGGACTAGTCATGACAGCAGAGAGTCAGGAGCAGAACCAGTTGGCATGTGCGCAGGATATCAGAGTGACCAGTATTTCACAGGAAGGAAGCCCAGCCAAAAGGTAAGAACGGAAAGGAAGACCCTGGGACTCACCTGTAGTTGTAGGCTCTGCCTGTAAGAATTTGATTAAAAAAAAGAATTTCACTGAATTGAATATATTTTATAAGCTCAAAACCATTAAGTTAGGTAATCTCTGATGCACCTAGCTCTAAAAGTACTTCCACAGTTGTTAGCTTGATTTCAGATAAAATACTAATAATAATACTCTGTTTTAGAAATGAGGATCAAGAAGAGAGCTCTCAAGAGGTTCAGATGTTGCCAGTTGCTCCCATTTTTCCCTCTGAGGCAGGGCCCCCCACACTTGTTTCCAGTCTCGGTGAGAATTCTGTTGAAGAACCCTTGATAAAGGATGCTAAAGGAGACAGCAGGCCCACTCTTCATGCACCAGAGGTAAAAGAATGTAGACTGTCACAAGGGTTAGCAGGTGTGTCTTCCCACTAAAACAAAACTTTAAAGTATAATTTTCATGTGCTAAACTTTACCCCCTGTCTTAGGTGTATATATGCTCACACATACATTCATTTTATTTTAGTTTTTTACTTTTTGGTATTGGGGATCTAATTCAGAGCTTTGTGCCTGTTAGACAAGTGTGCCATTCTATAAGCTTTTACAAATAGAGTCTTGTAGCCAGTACATGAACTGTTCATCAGAGCAATCGCCAGTGCCCTTTGATACTTGCCTTTCTCTCACATCAGCTCCTAACAGTCACAACCCCATCCCCCTGTAGCCTTACCTTTTTCAACAATGTGTATTGCAATTGAATTTTAATTAAATACGTCTTTAGTGTCTGGAACATAGAGTTAAAAAAACTGTTATCCAATTTTATTGTAAAATCTTTCAAAAGCAAGTTTTTCTTCAATTAGATTTTATTGGCACATTTTAGATATACATAATGATCACATTCATCAGAGAATTTGTACCTGTACATGGTATAACTTATTTTACCTCCCATACCCCTACTTTCCCTTTTGCCCCTCCTCCCCTTCCCATGTTTTTGTTTAAAAACAAAAAAGCTTTGTTTTTATGCTTTCCTTCTTATCTCTCACTTTTTAAAAAAGTTTTTTCCCTTCTTTCTTTTCACCCTCTCTCTTCCCTTGTTCCCCTTCCCGTTTGAACATTTTCTTCCTGTTTCACAATACCGTTTCACATTTTGCTCCTTAGTTACACTTTTGGTTTTTCACACCAGAGAAACAATGTAGTATTTTCACATGTGTCTGATTTGTTCCACTTACGAGTATGGTCTCAAGGCGCATCCATTTCCTGGAAATGTCTTGAATGTGTCCTTCTTTATGGTAGAATAGTATTAAAAAACCCCCACATCTTCATTTACCAGTTTATGGGCATTTCGGTCTACAAACTGTGGCAGTATAAACATGGGTAAGCATAGATTGCTGTGGTGTGATGCTTTTAATTCTTTTGGGAAGACACCCAGGAGGGTGTTTTTGAGACATGGTCTTGCCTTGTGGCTCAAGTTGACCTTGAACTCACTGTGTAGCCCAGGCTGGCTTCAAACTTGCGATGATCCTCCTGCCTTAGCCTTGTAAGTGCTGGGATTTCAGATGTACACCATCATGCCTGGCTCTAAAGAATTATTTTATATGCAGAGAATTTGTTTTATACTCAGAATGGTATGCATGTCTTAACCCTTCAAAGCAGTGGGATATAACTTGTGAGAGATGGAGAGTAAATGAATTCTTAAATTCAGTTTGACAGGTGATACAGAGAGATTTAGACAAGACTCTGTAGTAGTTGCCTCCTCTCAGATTAATTAATCTTTGGGAATAAGGCCTAAGCATTAATATTCTCTTTAAAGAGTTCCCTGGGCCCATGAAGCAGCAGGGTGGAGAAGTGCCATGCTAGGAGCTTTGCACCAGGAGGGAAAACAGTGAAGTTGATGAGAACTCAGCCATGGCTTGTGGTTCCAAGAAACATCTAAAGTGAATGACATCGCCCAAGAATTGGGTGCTGGATAAATTGACTGATGTGTTTGCTCTTCATTTATCCATTGGTCTCCACAAATTGAGAGATTGTCCATCTCTCACCATCTTCCTAAGGAACAGACTTATTAGCCTTCTGGGGGTGAAGTCAAGATTTGTATGCAATGCTTCATTAAAATCAATGGCAAAGTCTGAACAGTGTAAGCCTTCTCTGCTGGCTTTATGGGTGTCACTAGCGTTCACAAGACAGGACAGCATTTCCATATGTCTACAACTTGGAAGGGTTGTTTTGCTGTTCATTGTATTACACCTGAGCAAGTCAAGTATAAGTTGAGCAAGGTGAGAAAGATCTTTGTGACTACCAGAGATACCCCTCGTCTTGGTACCCATGATGCCCGCACCATTCACTGCCATGACTACCTTACCTTGGTGAATAATACCTTCCAGAGTGATTGGTGTCCAGCAAGATCACTGATTCCATCAGGTTAGACACTGGTAACCTGTGTATGGTGACCAGAGTTGCTAACTTGGGAAAGATTGGCAACAGAGAGAAACATCCTGGCTCTTTTGATGTGGTTTATGTAAAACATGCCATGGCAACAGCTTTGCCATGTGGCTCTCCAAGATTTTCTTTACTGACAAAGACAGCAAGCCATGGGTTTTTCTTCCACAGGAAAAGGAACTCATGTCATAATTGCTGAAGAGAGAGATTAGAGGCTGGCGGCCAAACAGAGCAGTTGGTGAAATGGTCTATAGGTGACATGATGGAGAACACTCAGTGCTTAATTAAAGATACGTAGCATGGTTTAAAGAAAAAAAAAAAAAGAGGTTTACTGAGTGAGAACATCCTTTAAAGAACAAGTATAAATGAGTGGATTAAAGGGAAACAAATACGAAAAAACAGGTGTGAAGCAGCACATGTTTGAGATTGGGTATTGTTATGAGTGGAATGTAAATGAGAAAAAGGATTAGAGATGAAGTCAGAAAGATGGCCTGTAAACCAGGCCAAAACTGTAATCCATCCCAGCACTTTGAGTGGCTGGTGAGTAGCAAGTTCAAGTCCTGTCTAGACAAGTTAGTGAGACCACGTCTCAAAACAGGAAAAGAAGAGGGAATGGGACTGGGGATGTGGAGTATTCCTGGGGTCAGTCCTCAGTACCACAAAAACAAACCAACGAACAAGCCCAAAAACACAAAAGAAGAAAAAAAGTGGCTTCCAGACAGACAATACAAAGATTTTTAATACTTGCTAAGGAGTCTGATAGTGTCCAAAGTTATGAGACCTCGAACCCCAGTGTTCTAACTTTTGAAATAATTTCAAAGAATCAGTTGTACAAAGGACTCTTCCGTATTTTTTCTTTGGATTTGTTAAGTAAGTGTTAACACTAAGTCTCATTTGTTTTCTACCTTGCCCTCTGACTTGATGGATGAACGGATTGATGGATGGGTGGGTGGATGGATTCTTAGAAAAACCATTTGAAAGTTGCAGAATGAACCTCCTAAATACTCCTTTGTTAATAAGGGCAAGATTGTTTTTTTTCCAAGAAGTAATAGCCCTTTTTTCACCTTAAGATTTACCATAGCATTTAGCATTTGTTCACTAATATTATTTAGAACACAGTTTCCATTCAGGTTTCCTCAGCTGCTCCAATCATGTCCATTATATCCTAATTTAAAAAAAACTTGGGACCCAATTGGAAGTATCACCTGGTATTTAGTTTTCATGTATTTTTACTCCCTTTAATCTAGGTAAGTTCTTACTTTTTTCTGTTTGTAAACTTGACATTTTAGGCAAGCCTATTCTGGTCCACAGTTTGTGTTTTTTTTTTTTAAACTGGCTCCTTATTGCCTTTAGTTTTTGGACAAGATTACTACATAGGCGATGTGTTTTTTCTAATGCATCACAAGACATGCAATGTCAGCTTGTTCCATTATTGCTGTTGTTGACTTGGCATTTGGCTAGAATAGTGCCTGCCAGATCTCTCCATTATAAGGATGTCTTTTCCACTTTGTGTTAGTAAATTGTCCAGTGAGTCCCAGCAACCAGTTACCCAGTTGTTTTGGTATCCATTGATGAGTCTTCCCTGAATTGTTGTTTGCAAAATGAAAGTTAAAATTATAAGCATTAGAGAATTACCATAAATTTTGCTTTGTGGGAAACAGTGTTAATAGGTTTTATTTATTTTATTGTGGTCTTTGGGATTGAATTTCGGACCTTCATACTGAGCTATTTTCCTAGTGCCACCTCCTCCACTTTAGTTTTTTTTTTTTTTTTTTTTTTTGAGATAGTCTTGCTAAGTTGATAAACTGCCCGTGCTTCAAGTCCCAAGAACGCTGGAAATACAGGCTTGTACCACCATGCCTGGCTGTTAGTTTTATGAAGATAGATTGGTAGAAACCACAGTGGAGGTAAAGAGAGAAGTTTGTACCATTGAGATATCATCTGCTCACAGTACAGGCAGAAGTGATAGGAGTAAAGAGAATAGTAAAGGTTTTGAATCTCTCTTGTCAGCTCAGAAATCATATCACCATGCATAGTGGTTGGTACACACCCAGGTACTCAGAAGGCTGAAGCAGGAAGTCAGAGCCCAGCTTGGGCAATTTAGTGAATTTATCTCAAAATTTTAAAAAGGTTGAAGTTATTGACAACTAAAATCTTTAGAAATGCTCAAGAAATTTAAATGTTTAAGATAAACCATTGAGTTTTGAGTGTTTACTATATAAGATTGTCAGGAAACTTCAAAACTAAGATTTATTAAACTTCATTTTTTCATTTTTCTTTTTTATGGCAGTGCATGCGAGCTAGTATTCCAGAAGTGCAACAGGAGAATATAACCAACACTCAAGATCCAACAGGTACGACCATCTGATTCAGTGAAGTCTCATAGAACCTAATAATACAATCTTTGCATTTAACTGGAAAAATAAGCTTTTTTTAAAACTGAGGTTCCCTTAAGCCAAAAACACACTTGAAGTATTTTGTATATCAGTTTTATTGTTCAGAATTACAAATCCTCCCCATAGTATATTTTCTTTACCCTTTATGAAATTATTTTGGGGGTTTAGGTGTAATTTAAGTTTTTTTAGTCTTTTCAAGTTACATATATATATATATATATATATATATATATATATATATTTTTTTTTGGAATTGGACTCTGTACCTCACGTTTGTCATGCAGCCGCTGTGCTGCTGAACTATATCCCCAACTCTTAAATTTTATTTTAAAGAGAAAAGATAAAAATAACTATGAAACAGTTTCAAAGCAGGTTAATAGGACAGTTACAATAATTAATACATTGTGTATTGTTGTCTATTATTCAGAGTGTAAGATACAGGCATGATATCTTTGTGGAAACTATCTTAGTACAAAACTTTTTTTTCCAGTGAACTAAGAAAAACTAACTGGGTAACTATCTTGTGTATACATGTATATATATTTTTTTCTTCCTTTTCCCTATTCAAAAGAAAAGATAAACTATGATGAGGGGAAGGGTAAAATTTTTAGTCTTGATGATAAAGTGTTAGACTTTATTTTTAGAAATGAAACAATGATTTTTTTGTTTTACAGTTGAGCATTTCATTACTAACTTTCAAATGTGCAGTGAATCTGTTTGCAGATGTACATCAGGACGGAGAGGATGAGCAGGCATTCATTCTAACTTTGGTGGAAATCCCAGCCAGTGCCGTGGAAGAATTCACTGATGCTGCTGTACAGTTAACGCCAAACCCTGTGCTGCCCGCACCTATCCTGGTCAAATCTGGTAATTCTGAAGAAAAGGGTGACATTAGGTAATGAATGGAAACTTGTTTTTACTAAGAAAAAAAAGGGGACACTTTATGAATCAAACTGTATTGACTGAATAAGCCATTTGCTGACCTCCTTGGTATTCACAGAGATCTTATTATTACTAATAAGATTATTACAGACTGGGAGAAGAATTATAATGTGGTTCATTTTGTATCTGATAAAGACACCATTTAAATGTAAAATATACTTTTGTATAGCACTTGTTTGACATTTTATTTCAAAAACTATAATTTAGCATCTAAAATGTCTAAAGGACACTTTAGATTAAAAGTTTAACTTTACAGCAAGAGAAATAATACATAATTCAGGTTTAATTAAATATTATGCAAATTGAGTTGTATTTGTTTGTTTTAGTTTTGTTTTTTTGATGCAGGGTCTCACTATGTAATTCAAGCTGGCCTCAAACTCACAGTAGTCCTCTTGCCTCAGCTATCTGAGAGCCAGGATTGCAGGCATGTGCCACCAAGCCTGGCTGCAAATTAAGCTGTAAATATAACAGAAAACTTGCATATTTATAGCCCTTGCCTTGAATTTGTTAGTTTGGACCTTTTTAGCTTCATTGAAATTTTCATTAGTCTTTAACCTGATTATAGAGGTTCTGATTCACTGGTGTTCTCTGTATTCCTTTTCTGTGCAGTATGACCTTACCAGTAACTTCAGCTGGTGAAGCTGCTGTATGTTTATCTAATTCTGGAAGAGATGATTCTGAAAAGCCTACTGCTAATTTGCAGCTTGTATCTAGGAAGAGGTTTCACTGCAGGCTTGATAAAAGTGACCACATTCCTCCTGCCAAAAAAAGTTTACTCATTGCGACAAATGATCTGCAACAGTATACCTCTGAGGTAAGAATATAGGTGTAGTGAGACAGCTGTGCTGCAGCAGATTTGCTTCCCTTTGTTCTTTCATTGTTTAACCTTTATATATGGGAAGGTAGTTTTGGCATGTTTCATTGTAAGTAATGCAGTTAAGGCCAGTGTGGGACTGTCCCTTTCAACCATCTCCGAGCGAAAACTGGTGGATGTTAATCGGGAAACCTTTCCTTCTCTGTGATGGTAGCTAAAAGCATCATGTTGATCTGGGTGAATTACCTTGTGTAGGTCTTTTCAAAAATTCTCCTAGTATTTGCATTAGAATTACATTAATTTCATAGATCAATTTAGGGAAAATTGACATAATTATATTTATTTATTTATGTATTTATTTTGCTGCTTCTTTTTTTTTTTTTTTTTTATTGGTACCAGGGAACAAACTCATGGCTGTGTGCTTACAAGGCAGGTGCTTATGCTGCTGAGCTAAACCCCCAGCCCTGACATTATAATTATAATACGACACAGTGTGTCTTTCCATTTGGTTCCAGGTCTTTCAACTTTATTTTTCGTTCTGCTTTCATTTATTTTTAGGTTGTCCTTAAGAATTTTATCTTTTTTGTTGCTCTTACCATTGAGCTCAAGAGAGTTTTCTGAATTCCTTCATTGTGAACACAGTAATGTTTTAGTTGGTTCTCTTGGGGTTTATCGGTAAACAGCCATATAATCAGCAAATATAATTTTGATAATTCTACTTGTTATAGTTCCAATTTCTTTTTCTTTTCTAATCGTATTGGCTAATATAGCTCCAAAACAGTGTTAAAATGTGTTACCAATGGTATATATCCTTTTCTTATTCCCAGCTGTAATAGAAATACACTTATTAATTGGAATGTTGGCTTTCAGATTTTGAGTTTTGGTGTTAATAAGAAAATGTCATCTGGGCATGGTGGTACATGCCTATAATCCCAGCCCTTGGTAGGCTGAGGCAAGAGGATTTTTGTGAGTTTGAGGCCTGCCTGAACTACAAAGTGAGTTGAAGACAGGCCTAAACTGCATAGCAAGATCTTGTATCAAAAAGACAAAAAAAAAAAAAAAAAAAAAAAAAAGGAAAAGAAATGAACTCATTCTCTCTTAGGAGAATGAGTCAGGAAACTCTTTTGAATGCATAAATTTGCCAGTGTTGGCAATATAGTGACACTGTTTCAATAAACAAAACAAAAACAAAAACCACTGGGCAAAATGGCACGCCCATGCTTTAGTGCTTCCAGCAAGTTGAGTTCAAAGCTAGACTGCTCTTAATAGTGAATTCAAGACCAGCCTTAACTACTTAGTGAAAGCCTGTCTCAAGGGGGTTGGAGGGAAGAAGAGAAGAGAAGAAAAGAAAAAGGGTTATCCAGTTCATACGAATGTTTTAAAAGAATTACTACTAATGTAAATAGGTAAAATTATTGACCTTATATCTGTTGAATTACTTTTCTACTGTTGAATTACTTTTGCATTCCTGAAACAAAGTAGTTTTATTGATTTGCTGCTTATAACTTTTCATTTAAAGGACTCAGATGTATGTTAGTGGTAGAGCCCTGCTTAGCATGTTAAAGGCGCTGGGTGTGTGCCCCAGCATAAGGAAAAATTTTTTTCTATTATTTTATTTGCTATTTCCCCACTGATATTGAGACTGGTTAGTTGGTATGAATATGAGATAAAAGGTATTTGGCAGCTTTAGCTCTCCTGCTGGGCTCTGGAGCAGGATAAAAACAACACTATCTTTTCTCTTAGTGCTTGGTAGAATTTCTGTAAGATATGACTGACTCTAGAGCTTTCTGGGAAAAACATGTTTCTTTATCAAAAGGAAAGAAGTGGGGAGGGAATTATAATTTGACTGGATTTCTAAATATTTTATAAATTTTCTTAAAACAGGTGTGTTCAAAGGAATCAAACGTTTTCAAGAAAACAGGTGAGCAAAGTAAATTTTAACATGATTGCATTTGCAAAGTATTTCTAGTCATTTGTCTGGGACAGTGTAGTGACCTAGCAAGACCCTGTTTTGAAGTGAAAGACTGATAATGTAGCACAGTACAGACCCTGGGTTCAATGCCTGTACCGCCCTCACCCCCAATTGATGGTGGCATCTTTACAGTATTAGAACTATATAGTAGAAAAGTTTGATGGTTTTGGCTGTCTCTTACTTCGTTTTGTGGTGCAGAGGATCAAACCTAGGATGTCACGCATATTAGACAAGTATTCTACTATAGAGCTATACCCTTAACCCCCAGTTTCTTTTTTCTTTTTGGTTCCAAGGATCAAACCCATGACCTTGTGCTTGCCAGATAGGTGCTTATGCTACTGAGCTGAATCCCCAGCCCTAGCCACCAGTTTTGGTCTTTTAAATACTCAATCTCAAATGCCCCATTGTTTTTTGGTACTGAAAATCGAACTCATGACCTCACACTTGCCAGGCAGGCACTGTGCCGCCAAGCTATATCCCTACCATGATGCCCCACTTTTAATATGAAACTATAATGTGGTTATAGTCTTCAGTCTTTAGAAATGTCCTAATCTTCCATCCATCTCCTCTCTTATGAAAGCATTAAATCACAACACTGAAATGTTAGTGATATGCTGTATGCTGTTGTTTATCAGATGATTTTGAAGGTGTGTGTGTGTGTGTGTTTGAGGCAAGTATACCTGTCAACCTCATTCTGCCTTCATGGAGCTAAAACAGTATCACTGGGAACAAGGCTTTGGTAACAGGTCTGTCTCCTAAGAGAAAATAATTTTTTTTTTTTTAACTTAGCAAGAAATTTCTCATTTGTGTCAGCTTTCCTGTTGCTGGGACAAAATACCTGACACTCATAACTTAAAAGAGGAGAGGGTTAATTTGGCACTTCTCAGGGGCCTCATGGTCATCTGGTTTTAAGACAAGAATGTCATAGTAGAGGGCATGGTGGAAGAAAACTGCTCACTTTGTGGCAGCCAGGAAGCACAGAGAAGAAGGGAGCTGGGGAGAGTGATATACCCGGTAGAGGCAGACACTTGGGACACATTTCCCCCTGACAGGCCCTGCCTCCCTCACTCAGCACTGTTAGCTGTGAACTCATCGTGCACGGGTTCAGTCCACTGGCGAGCACAGCAGCATAGTGACCTAGTCACCTTCCAAAGCCCCACCTCTGAACACATGAAACTTTTGGGGGGACATTCTAGATCTAAACCAAAGCTATGTTATTCTAATTAATTGCTGTACTTTAGCTTTTGTGCTTGGTTTAGAGAAGAAATCCCTGAGCTAACTTAAGTGCATTAGATAGTAGACCATGAGCTTTTCCATCATCCTATGATACCTAAGAGTTACCACCTATGTTGGGCTGATTTAGCTTCTGTGTTTGAAGAAGGCTTGGAGTTTAGGAAGTGATCACTTTTTCATTTTCATAGTTGAACAGATCTGTTTGGAAAAAGATTTTCTAGGTCAAAATGTGGAAGGATTATTTTGTATGGTGATAAGAGTTTTGCAGACACTATTGTCATGACTTTCATTAACTAGTTAGCAATATTCCTTTTCCTTTTTTGTTTTACTTTTTATTTCTCTTGCTCCTCCTCTCCCTCCTACTTACCTGTGTCTTCTTTTCTACCAATTTTCTACATCTCTACATGCACTTAAACTATTTGTAATAGTCCCAGTTAACACTCTAATTATAATTTTCCTTTCTCTTCTCTCTTTTTGCTTTTTTTGATAGTAAGGGTCAAACTCAGGATTCGATGCTTGCTAAGTAGCTTACTCTTAGATGAGGCTGAATTTGTTACTGAATTACACGACTTCTTCATTTTTATTTTTATTTTTTTGTCTTTTTCCTTTTTATTGGTACCGGGGATTGAACTCACAACTGCCTGCTTGCAAGGCAGGCACTTATGCCGCTGAGCTAAATCCCCAGCCCCTTTTTCATTTTTATATATTGAATATTTTAATTTCAAGATACGTACTTACTCTTTACTGTCTTTTCTTGAAGTGAAATCTTACAAGGAACAAGGTATTTCCACCACCTCAAAAAGCACACATACAACTCCAGAACCTCAAAAAGAACAACATGAACCAGCTTTTCAGAATGCAGAATCTAGATCTCTTGATGAAGAAATAAGTACATGTGTAGAAAAAAATATGCCTCATTCATCTCAGGATGATGTGGTTATATCTGATAAAGAAGGAAGAACTGATGGTGCTTCTGAGTCTGAACAGAAGGGAGGCAGAACATCGTCTTCAAAAGCCTCACTCTCCAGGTATCATGAGAAACTCCCTTGTGCATCTGGGTGTTTGCAGCCTGCATAGAATAGACATGCAAGTAAAGTTAAATTCTCCACAAAGGTTGCTTTGTAAGTAGATCCTGTGTCTATAATGTAAGGGAGAGACCATTCAAAGGAAATACATTAATGTTCCAGATGTATATTCTGTGTGATAAGAGTTTAACTTTAGTTGTGAAACTGCCTATTTGGAATAGAAAATCTCTAGACTATTGCACACTTTGTCCATGTTATTGATTTGATTGTTGCATATTCTGCCATACAGTACAAACTAATGCACATGTAGATGTTAAATGTAGAACTGAATCCAGACGTAGACCTGGAAGTTGTGTTGAATTCCAAAATAGTGTGTTATTTTCTTCTATGACACACTAAAGAGGTAAAATATGATTATGTTCCTGAATTTAAGCTCAAAGCCAACTTCTCCCTCTCACTTTTTTTTTTTTTTGAGATAGAATCTCACTACGTAGTTTAGGTTGGCCTTAAACTTACTATGCATCCCAGGATGGCCTTGAACTTGCAGCAATCTCAGCACTTAGAGGCTGAGGCAGAATTGCTATGAGTTTGAGGATATCTGGGTTACATAGGGAGGTCAAAGCCAGCCTGAATGATAGCAAAATCCTGTCTCAAAAACACAGCAAAGCAAATAGAATCAGCCAGGGCTCTGTATAAATCTATATTCTGACCTAATGGTATGAGTACTTAGTGCAGTGTCATTTTAGCATTTATGGTAAGAAGGTGGTATTAAGAATGTATTTTACTGATATTTTTTACTATCTTTACATTTATATTTCTAGACCTGGCAGAAGACCACTGGGATTTTTAGCTTTAATATGTTCAAAGAATAATTTGGAGTCTGATGAACCTACTCGTGTCCATAGTAAAAAGCGCTTAAAACCTCTTCTACCTATATCAAGACGGAATTTGAAAAGATCTAATCCACCTGATGAGACCCAGAAAAAAAATAAGGAGTCCTCTGATGTGCTTCCATCTCCAAGTGATGTCACCAGTACTCAAGCTGAGGATACTAGCAGTTCTGCAACTCAGGTGTGTGAGAACAGCTGTTTTTTGTTTTGCGTATAAAATGGACTGAATGTCAGAATCAACTAGGGAGAACATGGCGGTTTTATTTTCATTTGGATGCCAGAAATGATGTTAGGGCATCTGCCGTTCATTTCTGCTTCTTCAAAGCCTCCATCTTGAAAGATAAGGAGTTGGTTGAGGAAGCTGGTTTAGAACAGAGCCTGAGAATGGGTAGGCAAAGGACATTTGAGTCCTGCTCTCTTACTCCAAAGACCCTTCTGAGTGTGGAAGCAGAAAAAAACAGTGCTTGTGCTTTAATTTGCCTTAGGAGAAATGTCCTGACATCTACAAGAAGTTATGGAACCATAAAAAGCATTCGTGTTTTGTTTCTATGCATCTTGAAGCTAATATAGTAAGCACTGGGATAGAAAAATCCATGAAACTGTATTTAGGATTCTTGATTATCATTGCCTGTTTTATAGAATAGTTGTTACAATTGCTAGTGTGACAATGCCAGTTTAATCATATCTGTCTGCATTAGATATTAACACTTCACCTAAACTAAATCACATTTTAAGAAAGTTAAATTAATGATGGACGAATTGGGCATGGTGGTACACAGTTCTAACTGCAGCACTCCAGAGGCTGAGGCAAGTGTGTCTTGAGTTTGAGGCCATCCTGGGCTACATGGGGCTGTGTGGCCATCCTGGCCAGCCCATCTTGAATGAATAAATGGAGGAGTGGAAATTTCATTGGTTTAATTTGCATTGCCTTAGTTACTAGTGACTTGAGTTTTTCCATGAATTTGCTAGAATTTCTCATTTGTGTTTTTTTTTTTTCTTATGTAAAGTTTATTATTAGGAAGTTTTCTTCAGAGGTATAAAGTTTTCAGGAATCAATTTTAAAGTTTTGACTCTTATGTATAGTTAATGTCTTTGATACACAGTATGAGACAAGATGAACTTTATTCTCAAATTGCAATTATTTATTTGTAATGAGTAATAATCCCTGTGTGCTTTAAAATTCATAATCGACCCAAAAAATGGGATAGTGGGAAAAATTTTCCCCACCTGTATTGTACTTTAGCTTTCTCTTCCTATGGTACTGTCAGTTGACTTTTTTCCCCCCCAGTATTGGGAATTGAACCTAGGGCCTCAGACAGGTTAGACACACTCTGCTACTGAGCTAGGGCCCTAGCCCTTGGTTTATTTTTCCAGAGGTATTTTATATGTAAACAAATACATGTAAACAACAACAATAAATATATGTAAACAAATACATGTAAACATTTTTTTCTTTTTATTCACAAATAATAACATGCTGTTGTTTATTAGGTTCTGACCTAGATCCCCGATCTCCCAAATGAGTATATGGCGAAGGTTAAATAAAAAGAGACAAATTGTATGATTTTTTTAGGGCTCCAGGAGGTCAAAACCCTTTACGTAAGCTCTAGACTCCGAGGTTAGGACAAAAGCTTCTCTGGATCAGTCCACTTATATTAGGACCAAGGACAAAAAGGCAGAGAAACTGAGGAAAGTGCAGTCAATGAGTAGGACCTTGCAAGTCACTTCAAAGATGTCTCCGAGTAATGAATTAAGTCAATTCAGTAGCACTGTCTTATCGTGAAGACAGGGTAGAAGTGAGACTATAGAAGTAATCTTTGCAGCTGCAGTCTCTACCTTGTTAATTGGGGTAGGAGCCAAGTGTCTTCAGCTGTGGCCTTATCTTGCCCTTTGAGGTATCTCTGGCCTCACAGGCCACTACAGGCCTTAGCCAGGACCAGTGATTCATAGAGATTCACCTAACATGAATCAGCTTCTGTCGCCAGGCAAGGGGCCGAGGCCTAGGGACAGACTCACAGATAAAGATAGAAAGCCAATTAGTAAAATTTAAATCCTGCTCAGAATCTCTTCATAGTGGTCTCCAACAGTTACCTAATTTGCTTTTTTTTTTTTTAACATAGTAGAATATACTAGAGACCTTTGAAAAGTAAATGAAAGAGTTACTGCTCTTCCCCTTTCTCCCTCCTTGTGCTGGGGGGTTGAAACCAGGGAGTCCTGAGTACCTTCAGCACTCACCACCTTTAAATTGAAACAGGGCCTCACCGGTTTCCAAGATGACCTCAAACGTGATCTTCCAGCTTCAGCCATAAGTAGTCAGCCTTGAATAGCTGGGATGTTCTATGTTTGCTGATTTTTGTTGTTGCACAATATTCCATCCTATGGATGTACCCACTGAAGCACATTTGAGTTTTTAGTTTGGGGCTATTTTGAACAGAACTACTGTTAATATTCTTATACTGATCTTCATATAAGCGTAAAGTTTTACCTTTTTTTTAGGAGTAATTGTTGAAAGTGTCCTCATTTTTGTAAATGGTTACATTTATTGTGCTCTGTGGTTGTACCTTAAAGCAATACTGTTGTCATATTTGTAGGCCTTTAAGTTATTCCTAATTATGTTCTATTTCTAACATTATGGCAATGCAGGCCTGGTACACATTTGTAATCCCAGTACTCTGGAAGGCTGAGGCAGAAAAATCACAAGTTTGACCCCAACTCTGCACAGTTTAATGGCTTAGCAATCACTATCTCAGAATAAAGGAACTAGGGATGTAGCTCAGTTTGAATGCCCTGGGTTCAATCCCCAGCACAACAAAAACAAAGCACATGGCAGTAGCTAACCTATAACTGGGTCATTTTGCATATTTATCTGTATTTTTTTTCCAGTGTTTTTATTTTATGCATTTAAGTAGATTTATTTAACCAAAAGGATGCTGTTCCTTTGATAGTTTGTGCTTGATTATCCCCAGAAGGAACGTATCAACCTCTGTTCTTTTTATGAGGGCCTGTTTTCTCACTAGCAGATTAGCAGTACTTTTCTCATTAATATTCTGTGTAGCTTCCCTGAGTACCTACTCTTCAGTGAGGCTGAGAGTCTCTTTGTGTGTTTCAATCATTCCAAGCTTTATTTTCTGTGGGGTATTTTTTCATGTCATTGGAAACTTTTTTTTTTGGCAAGAGGATCTTACTTTGTATTGAAGGCTAACGTTGAACTATGTAGCCCAAGCTGGTTTTGGACTTCAGTGATCCTCCTAGTTTGGCCACCCAAGTGCTGGGATTACAATCATGTACCACCATGCTGGGCTGACTTTATATTTTAAAAATTAGCTTATATATCTTTTTAACATTGATTCGCCCAACTTCTTATTAATAGAAGAACCCCATTCAGTCTAGGATTGCAAGTGTTTTTTGCATATGATATGTTAAAGAATGTTTTGGTGTTTTTTTTTATGCATTTACAGTTCAGTCTTTAGATTCATTCTAGAATTTGTTTTGGTGAGGAACAAGTATGTTTCTTTTCTCTGAGATGGTTTTACAGCTTCCAACACAATTTGTGGAAGAACGTCCCAGCTTTTAAAATTTTATTAAATAACTCCGTAACCCACACTTTATTTATTTATTTTTATTTTTATTTTTTCAAAGTCATTTTATTTCAAAGAGGAAAAAAGGGCTGGGGATTTAGTTTAGCGACGAAAGTGCCTCCTTGGCAAATGCGAGGTTGTGAGTTTGATCCCCGGCACCAAAAAAAGAAAGAAAAAAATTCAAAACATGCCAATCAGGGGGCAACAATGATACATATATTGTGCCTTTTCATCTCCAAGCTATTCACCCAGAGCACAAGACATCTGTATTCAGTTGTCCAAGTAATACCATCATAAGTCTCTCTCAGTGAACTCAGAGAAATCAATACTGTAACTATTTTAACTTTTAAAAAAAAAATATATATATATATATATATATGCATGTACATATACATATTTTGTTTCTTTCAACTTCTCACACTAGTGAGACAATATGTTTACACATGTGTATCTTATTTGTTTCACTAATGAGTATGGTCTTACATTGCATCCATTTAGTTATAAAAGTCTCTAATTTATTCTACTTTATGGCTGGGTACTGCTCCATTGTATAAAAACAACCACATCTTTTTTATCCATTCCTCAGTGGATGGGCATTTAGGTGGTTTCCAATATCTGGCTATTACAAATTGTGCTGCTGTAAACATGGGTGCACATGTATCACTGTGGTATGATGTTTTTAATTCTTTTGGTAAGATACCCAGAAACAGAATAGCTGAGTCAAATAGGACCTCTAGTTCTAATTTTTTGAGAAATCTCCACACTAATTTCCACAGTGGTCACACCAGTCTACACTTCTACCAGTAGTGGAGAAGGGTTCCTTTTCCCCATAAACCCCTCCAGCATTTGTTTGATTTTTTGATAATAGCCATTCTTTTTGGGTAAAATGGAATCTCAGTGTTGTTTTCATTTGCATCTCAATGACCAACGATGTTGAACATTTTTTATATATTTATTTGCTGCTTATATTTCTTCATCTGAGAAGTGTGTATTTATCTCAGATGTCCAATTTTGGATTGGGTCTTTAAATCGGGGAGGACTGATTTCTTTGCATTCTTTATATGTTCTTGATAGTAATCTTTTGTCTGAGGAACAGCTGGCAAACATTTCCTCCCATGTTGTGTGTTACCTTTTCACTCTGTTGGTGTTTTCTCTTGCTGTGCAAAAGCTTTTCAATAGGATGAGATCCCAGTTGTTGATTCTTTGTGATAGTTCCTGTGCAATCGGGAATTTGCTCATCAAGTTTGTCTACATCAATGTGTTCAAGAATTTTATCTACTCTCTTTCAGCAGATTTAATGTTTCTGTTTAAGATCTTTGGTCCATTGTGATTTTAGCTTAGTGCATGGTGAAAGATATGGTCCAGTTTTAATCTTCAGCATGTGTAGAGCCAGTTTTTCCAGCACTATTTATTAAAGAGGCTTTCTTTCTTCCAGTGAATGTGTTTGGCACCTTTGTGAAAGATAACGTGGCTTTGCATGTCTGGAGTTGTTTGTGTGTGTGTGTGTGTGTGTGTTTGAGACAGGGTATTGCTATGCAGTTCAGGCTGGCCTTCAGCTCACTTTGTAGCCCCGGCTGGTCTCGAACTCACAATGATCCTCCTG